ATGAGAAATTAATTCAAATAAGCAAAGCTTTTAGATGTATCTTACCTGACAAAATAGAATTCAGCATATCAAGTCAGTCAAATGACCTTCAGCAAATTACTTAAAACATCCATTTTATAAAATAAAAAAGTTGAAGCAGTTGGTCTCCTTCCAACTCAACTTGATGAAATAGAATCTAGGTCACATAATTGTTATGACTGGATGTCATTCCTAGGGTATTTACACAAATAGATAATTTTAAGTTTTCATTCAACAAATTTTTGCCATTCAACGTCAACATGGTACTTAAACTGAGGATACAGAAGGGAATAAGAAAACTGTTCCTGCCTATGCCTAGATCAGTCTTAGAGCTTAAAAAAGAAAAAGAAAATCTTTGCATTAAAACAATCTATAGAAAAGACAGGGAATGCCTGCTATTTCCACTAAAACATAAAACAAGGAAAGTAAGTTTTAACATATGAAGCTAAATTACCTTACAGAATTGTTCCAATTCTGAATTAGGTAGTAGTTGGCTAGCTAAAGAATTTGCTTCTCAAAATTCTTTTTAAATAGCACCTGATGCATGAGTGAATTGATGGTGGGAATTCTAGGGGGACTACACCTGAGAGAAAGCTAATATTATACAAAAATGAACAATGATGTAAAATATATACAAATAAATAAATGATATAAAAAATAGCACTTGATAGTTTTTAAACCTTTCATTAAGAATAATTTTGCCTAGGGCCTCCCCAGTGGCGCAGCGGTGGAGCGCTGGGTTGCGAAGCTGCCCGCAGCTTCTGCGGTGCCGGTTCGATCCCCGGCTGCTCCCCGGCCACCAGGGGAGGGTCCCACATGGCGCGCAGACCTCTCCTGCCGCCCGCTGCTCCCCTCAGCAGTGTACTTCGGTCCTTCTGCCTGCTCTGCTCCCCACTCTGGCTCTGGTGAATTCTCTCACCCTCCCGCGCTTCTGACTGTACCCAGTGCAGGTATAAAAAACAAAACAAAAAAAAAACAAACAAATAAATAAATAAAAACATGCCTCTAAAAAAAAAAAAAAGAATCTATAAAAAAAAAAAAAAAGAATAATTTTGCCTAAAATTGAAGGATGGATTATCTTGGGGGGCTCGTGGGGGGGGGGGGGAGAAAGAGAGAGAGAGAGAGAGAGTGAGAGAGAGAAGAAAATAAGGCTTACCTGTTATTTATCTGATTGGCTGAAACACTTTTACTTAAATGAACACTTACCTCCTACATAAATCTTGTTTTATTTCTTGTATTACTGTAATTAATTTTATATCAGAAATCATGTCTCTTAAAGATAGTTAGTTTTAAGGTACATAACGAGGACATACATTTTTTTCCTAAGTATATCTTCAAGAAACACAGCAAATTCATGAATGAGGCAAGCACTAGAAAGCTAATAAATGAACTCACAAATGAGAAATTCAGAGGTGTCATTACCCTTAATATTACTAATAGTTTTTAGGTAGTTTCTTTCCCTTGAAGTTCTATGCAGTAAGTATTTTCATCACAAACATTTTCACCACTTAACAAATTGACTGTAAGGTAATTCTGCTATAAAAGATAAAATAACTAGTTGCAAGTTTGGCTTCATGTATGGTCTATACAGAAATGAGTAGATGTGGTGGTGTTAAATAGTGGATGATAGCAGTTTGCAGATCCTTTCGTGAGCACCCATCCCTCCCACCAGCCAAAACCAAAAGCTTAACAAGCTACCACAAATATAAATGAAGTAGCTAGTAATTCACAACAGTTTTTTTTTTTTTTTAAATATTAAATTTTATTTTTATATTCCCCCATACAATTGCAAACGCCCCATTCTGACCCCAATCCTTCCCCTCCCGCCCCCCACCCCCCAAAAAGTGTCTCTGGTTCATAGTTTTTTGTTAATTTTGATTTTCACTTTCTTATATTCATTTTCCTGGTCCCTTATTTAAGTTTTCTAGATTCCTGCTATGAGTGAGACCATCCGGTATTTTTCTTTTTCTTTTTGGCTTATTTCGCTGAGCATGATCCCTTCCAGTGCCATCCATGTTGCTGCAAATTGCATGTGTTTATCTTTTTTGAATGCTGAGTAATATTCCATGGTATATATGTACCACATCTTCTTGATCCAGTCATCTATTTTTGGGCATTTGGGTTGTTTCCAAAGCTTAGCTATTGTAAACAGTGCTGCTATAAACATAGGAGTGCAGGTGCTCTTTGGAATTGATGTTTCTGTGTCCTTTGGGTAAATACCTAGGAGTGGAATTGCTGGATCATATGGAAGCTCTATGTTTAGTAGGTCCAGAAATCTCCACACAGCTCTCCATAGTGGTTGGACCAGTTTGCACTCCCACCAACAGTGCACAAGAGTTCCTTTTTCTCCACATCCTCGCCAACATTTGTTGTTGCTAGTTTTTTTAATATGTGCCATTCTCACTGGTGTGAGATGGTATCTCATGGTAGTTTTGATTTGCATTTCCCTGATTACAAGTGATGTTGAACATTTTTTCATATGTCTGTTGGCCATTTGCATTTCCTCTTCAGAGAAGTTTCTTTTTAGCTCTTCTGCCCATTTTTTGACTGGATTATTTTCTTTGTTGTTGCTGAGTCTCATCAGCTCTTTGCAGATTCACAACAGTTTTTAAATTAACCTTTCGATAATTTAGATACAACACCTTGTTCTCTGATAACACCTTTACTAAATTTACCACGTGATATTACGAGTTGGGGGCAAAATAAGAATGACCCCAAAGAGGAAATGGATCCATGATTTCTGATGAATATAAGTTTTGTGAAAATGGGAGAAAATTTTTTATAATGACTCATCATGTGTTGGAACATTTAAATGTAGTCAAGATATGTACAACTGGTTGTTACATACAATGATAAGAAATAGCAGCATCTCTTTTCTGTTCCCTACTTGCAGGGAAATCTGAAGAGTTTTACAACAGATTTTCTTTTTTTTTTTTGGATTGTAGAGAATTTACATAAGACATTAAATCCTAATTATTTAATTAACAATTCTTTTATTTTTTGTAATTTTATCTTCACTGCAAAATTCCATACAATTAGTTTTGCAGCAAAAATGCTTACAGTAAAAAAATGTGAGTATACCACACACAAATACCAACATTTTTGAGTGCAATTCTGTTGACATCAAACCTAAGTAATCAGTTATTCCAACAACCAAATGGGTTTATTCAGAAACAATGAGCAGAAAAGAGGGCAAATTAAGGAGTGTTCAGGGTGAGGCCTATGTGCACTTCTCCAAAATCTAAGGCTAACTTCTGAGGATCTTCCCCTGAGTTCCAGGGGAGGAGACAGAGCATCTCCTCCTGCAGATGAGAGACAGGTTGGGTTCTGTACTTTATTGCTTTCTACAAAGCTGACAGACGCTTTCTATTCTCCTTACCTCACTTAAATAGGGTTCTGTATATTAATGCTCAACAACCCAACTGGCTAACCCAAGGTCTATAACCTCAGTCTATTTGGTATTCTATATATGTATTTTCTAAGAAAAATAAAATATTAATATCAATACATTTCAGTCAAATTTCCAACAAGGTTTTATGGTAGAAAATGTAAAAGCAAAGAATCTAGAATAACCAATGTAATTTTGAAGAAGTAATATAAAATACTTCACCTTGGCATTTATTGCTGTACTTCCCTGGGTCATACTAGTGATGGGCTACCAACTTGCATATTCCAGTACTGTTTTCTTTGGACCTGAAATGACTTATAAGGGTCCACTGAATTTTTTAAATTTCAGTATTTGTAGTATTATGTATTTTTGTCTGGTTTACTGAATCTCAATTTATATGCACTAAAATTTACTCTTTTTAAGTGTACAGTTGGATGTGCTGTGCAATCAATCTTTGCCCATCAGATTCTAATAATCAATGATCTGATTTTGTCTTCTGTGATTGTCTTTTTTTATAATGTCATAGAAATAGAATCATATAGTATGTAGCCTTTCATGCTAGGTCTCTTCACTTATAATAATATGTTTATGAGTTAGCATGTTATCGCATATATCAGGAGTTAGTTCTTGTGCCATCTTGGTTAGGTTGAATTATTTCCCAGAATTCTGTGTCTGTACACTCACAGTTGGGGTGAGCCATAGGACACATTTTAGAGTGGGAGTTAGAGGATAAAAGTGAAGCAGCCAATTTGCTTTTTATGCAGGCACTTTAGTGACACACATATATTGCAAGTTATCCACTGGTTCATTTTGTTGGATGGGGCAGCAGTTAGGCTGCTGTGCCACCTTTCCTTGTATCCTCCTTCAGCCTCTCTGATTCCTGGACCAAGCATATGCTTAGCAACAGTACTGGACAACTTCTACAAGATATCCATACATCTTCAAGGTCAGACACAGTGAGAAGTGGTGTGGGACTCAGTCCATCCTCTTGAGTTCTAGCTTGTCCTTGCTTTTGTCCACTTTACATCTAACTTCCCTGTGAGCTTCAAATTCCAGCATTAGATGCAAAACAACAATATCAGAGAGACTGCTTACCCTGCTTCCTGTAAACAAATCCCTGAAAACAAATTGCTATACACACAGCACACATGCCTGCAAATATCCTAATGGTTCTGCCTCTCTGATTGAATTCTGATGCAATTTCTTTTTTGTGTTGAGTAGATTTCCATTGTATGCTTGTGCAAGTTGTTCATCTATTTAGTAGTTGTGGTTATTTGGTTGTTTTCAATTTGGGATCCTGAAAAAAGCTACTATGCACATTAACATTTAGGTCTTTGTATGGGCACATCATTTTAAAACACAGTATTTATAAATATAAAAAGAAATTGCTGAGAGTTAAATGTGATTGTTACTGGAAGTAGCAAGTAGTACAATGGGGTCTGAGATTGATGTTTTGAATTTTAGGTCTTTGTGAACATGACTTTTAAAAAACACTGAGTTTTACACTTCTAAAGAGTGAATTTGTAGTATGTAAACTATATCTTAATTTAAATAGTTGTAAAATGTATACAATACTACAATGGACAGATTGTCAATTCATAATATAATATCAAGTTTTATTCACCTTTTTTCTTACAATATGCTGTCATTCAAAATATACCTTATAAGTAACTCATGCATACAGTAGATACTCTACAAACATTTTGATTTAATAATTAGGTATTTTTTTAGAATGACTAAAAATCCTGATGTAAAATCCCAACTGGGAAATGCATAATCTCATTGTAGACAAAATATATAACTTTTACAATAAACATTTTTATAAGAATTTGTCCAAAAGAGGGAACACTTACAATTTGGAAATTAAAAAATAAAAAGTAAAAAGCAAGATGAAACACAATACTAACACATTTAGACAATGATCCCTGGATTGGTGGTACTTACACACCCAGGGCTACCTGCACCCTATGGCAGTAAGACCATCCGACATTCAGTTAAGAAGATAATTACATGTCTAGTGACCTCTTAGCTGGAAATGCTGTGAAAATATGTAAGTGATAGTCTGTGGGGAAAAAATTTAACGACATCCCTTACATGAACAAAGCAAAAAATTTAAATACATATTTTATTTTCCAATTAAAAAAAAATCAGCATTTTTCATCTTAAGCAGCAGGAATGTTCCACAAATAAGCATGAAGTCACTTTCATATTTTCTGTAGAAAATATTTTTGGAGGTAATTTCTAGAACCTTAGTCCAAATATAAAACAAATCTTTGCATTAGCGGGTCTTCTGATGTTTACAAAAACAAAACAGGCTGTGACCGCACATGTTCATTAAATGTCTTCTAAATTCTTATTTTGAGTTAGCTTTAGAACTATGAACATCAGTGTATTATGTTAAGGAAAAATTAAAAGCCATCAAATGTCAAATCTTAGAGAAGTAGCTGTGCAAACTTACAATCTAATATGCTATAGCTACAAACTATATTTCCCCAAAACAATGTAAGTCTATAAAAATTTAAATACAAGGACTATATCAATACATGGAAATGTATATATAAAATACCATTATGTGAAAAAAGCAAAATTAAAAATATAAAGTGATTACAACCATGGAAAAGTAAATATATTACAATAACAAAAACTGAAGTGAATTTAAATTTATAGAGACATAAATTCAAATATTCATTAGGGTGTTTTCTTTGTTGTTTAAGATTATAACAAAATAAAAAAAGAAAAAATAGACTATTATCTTAGATAAAACTATATTCCTAAACAATAAATACTAAACTATATATGAACTCCCAAAACAAAGATTTAAAAAACCATAATTTTTATATTTCAAGCATATCCTATGGAAAGAGATCAGCCCACATTTACTGACTTCTATTATACAATAATAAGTACATATCTTCTGGCAATATGTACAACTATAACTGCCCTTCTTAAACATAAAATGAAAAAAATTTTAATTATTGTTCAAATAAGAAAACCAAGCAGCATGCTAACAAAATCTATTTACTTAATGTTTTGCTCCTGCAAAAAGCCACTAACAAGGAGTTATAAAAAACTAGTTCTATATACATATTTTACATAACATATATATTATGCTATAAATATTTTAAAGAATGGCTTTTATATAATTATTGATTTCAATATATATCTTATCATTTAATTGCAAGTTGTGCAAATGCAGTCATTCAGATTAATTATTGAAAATGACTCTCTACATAACTTAGAAAATGGCTAATTTCTTGGATAAAACATAGCATATTTTGAAGTCCGAAAGCCAAGTAAATCCCTTATTTCATTTCGGAATTTTGACAAATCTTGGCGCAATTCATTTAAATTTTCCACAGTTGCCTGATCGGTACTTTGCATCTTCTGTCTCATAGAAGTTAAGTATCGATGCACTAAGCAGCACATCACTTTTTGGTAGTTTTCATCTCTCTTTTGTTTTAAATTTCTCCATTCCTTCAAAAAAAAAAAAAAAACAATAATATGATACTAATGATTTGCATAAAATAAAAAGATGGATTAAAAAATTCATAGACATCACACATGGTTTGTAGCAACATGTAATGAATTATTTGTGTATTGAATAATTTTATAGAAAAATATAAGCTGAATCTGGCAGTCATTCTTTATGCTGACAATAGATTTCTGAATATTATCCATGTTTTAAAGGTATAAGGTGAGATTCCATAAAAGAAAATCATAGCTCACTCTCTCACTCTCAGTAAACATTTATTGAACCCTAACTTTATGTTAGATAGCAACCAAGCATTTGGATATAGGAGTGGAAAAAAATCTGATTATCTTAATGAATTTTCATTTATAATTCAGGAAACATTTGAAATTAGAAATAAAGACGTCCACGGTGCAATTCACACTTCAAACTTCTTACCTTTAAACTGTTTTGCCGTTTAACCTTGCCTTTTGATGTATGAGAGCAAATCCATTTGCTGAGGCTACTAATCATATAGCAGATAGTCTTTGGTGAAGGAACGATGTTGAAAGGTGGGGGCAACGTACATTTGTCATCAAAATAACTAAGCCACAACTTTGCTCGGGCAAACTTCCACTCTTTGTCTTCATGATTCTACCAGAGTCAAATGAAAAGGCAATGTAAGATATAAATATAACACAGAAGGAGGGACATGGGGAGATTGTTTGAAACTGTACAAATGTTTCCACACGGTATGGTAAAAAGTTGGTCAAGATTTGCAGTTAATACACATAACTTATGTTTTAAAAATATCTACATTTAAAATCAAACCAATAACAAACTCTAGAAATCTGACTGCAAAATTGAGGCTACCAGAGATGGGGAGAGAGAGAACAAAGTGGGGAGAGGCAAAGGGACTGTGGTATAGAACTGTGGGTGCCTTGGTGGCTGGAGGGTGTGACGTGATAACAAGAGGTGTGATCCTATAGCTCTAAATAATATGAATGTTGCCACAATAACAATAAAAAAATCTATACTTAATTTTTATTTTATTTTTTTAAACGTATTACTTTTAACAAATCCATTCTTTTTTTTTTTTTTTTTAATAGAGGCATGTTTTATTTATTTATTTGTTTGTTTGTTTGCTTGGTTTATACAAGCACTGGGTACAGTCAGAAGCACAGGAGGGTGAGAGAATTCACCAGAGCCAGAGCGGGGAGCAGAGCAGGCAGAAGGACTGAAGTACACTGCTGAGGGGAGCAGTGGGCGGCAGGAGAGGTCTGCGCGCCATGTGGGACCCTCCTCCAGTGGCCGGGGAGCAGCCGGGGATCGAACCGGCGCCGCAGAGGCCGCGGGCAGCTTCGCAACCCAGCGCTCAACCGCTGCGCCACCGGGGAGGCCCTATACTTAATTTTTAAATGATACTCACTCTCGTAATCTTTGCTTGCTTATCTACTGCATACATTTGGTATAATCTGAAGGAAATATAAAATTTTTGAAATAATGAATACTTACTGCTATCAACTGAAAGCTTTTATGAAGCATTGCCACCAGCAGCTTGGTGAGCACTATCACAACCACGACATTGTATGTACCAACAATAACGGCTCCAACAAAGGACTGAAGTTCTTCTCCATAGCTAAATCTTGTGACAAAGATTGCCACATGTGCTAAGGAGAAAATATACCAGAACAAAGCAAAGCAAGTACCAATGAACCTGGAAAGAGAATTACACTTCTGTTTAAAAGAAATTTTAAAATATTAATTATCAAAAAATGAAAAACTTATTCATAGCAACATTATGTAAAGAAAACATGGGTAATGCAGAATATATAATAAAATAAGGCTGATCCCAATATTACAGATAAGCTTTAGTTTGACTTAACAGATAAACCATTTCCTAACCTTTTAGCCTCTTAACCGCCCTTTCCGTCTATTCTCAGCAATGAAGCCTCCATGATGCTATTAATGCACACTTTGCCACAACTCTCTGCTCAAAAACTTGAAGTGGCTCTCATATCAATAGCCCAAAATCTTTCTGAAGTCAGTCATATTGTACCTGATCCTATTACCTTTTCACCTCATCTCCTACAACTCTCCTCCTGGATTTTCCTTGAAAGTGCCAGCCATACTCCCACCTTAGGGCATTTGCCTATGTCATTCCTTGTATCTGTGAATGCTCATTTAATCTTAATGCTTACTTAAAATGAAATGCAAATAGCTAAAGAACAGACTGTATATGATAGGAACATAAGAAATGAGTAATTCCATATCCCTTCTCCATTAACAATGAAGGAAGACAGCCTCCCTGGTGGCCCAAGGGATTAAATATCAGCACAATGAAGCTATGGGCAGCCACTGCAGCATGTTCGATCCCCAGCCAGGAAGCTACCCGACATGGCATAGCAGACCTCTCCTGTCTCACCCACTGCTCCCGTCAGCAGTGTATTTCAGTGGATCTGCCTGCTCTGCTCCCCACTGTCTCTGGTGAATCCTCTCATCGCCCGATGTCCTAAAACCCAATTCTTGTATGTACAAACAAATAAAAATAAATCTTTTTAAAAAAAGAATGAAAGAAGGTATTTTGGCTGCCTCATAATTGGTTGTTCAATTCATTATGATATAGTAAATTAGAGGGGAACACACTGATCATAAGCTATAATGATTCTCAGTTCTAATGTCCTCCTAAAAAGTATTGAAAATGTGAATATTTTGCTTTTAACAATGATGACAGTGGCTACTAGCATTTAATATTTGAGGGGCAGAGATGCTGAACATCTTGCAGTAAGTAGGACAGATAAAGAACTGTCCAGTACAGAATGCTAACAAAATGCCAAGAATCTTGTTGAGATACAAAGCAGAAGAGCCAATACCTTAGGTCTCCTATTTATTGAATATTCCATACATAAAGATGATTATGCAAATGATTCACAAAAATTTCTTAAGTTTCTGAATTTTATTTTTATTTTAAAAAACATGAATACTTCATGAATTTACATGTCCTTCTTGCCCAGGGGCATGCTAATCCTCATACGGTTCCAATTTTAGTATATGTGCTGCTGAAGTAAGCACAAAAGATTCTGAGTTTAAAAAAGGAATCTCTTAAACAAAACTTGAAGTCCTATTTCTGTAGGCACAAAGTTATATATAACATGATAGAGAAATATATTTACTAGAAATTAAAAAAATGAAATTTAAAAAAATACTCACGAGTGGAACGTGTCATTGCTTTGCTGTTCACAGAAGATGCCTACACAGTCCTTCTGTTCTTTTGGAGTATAGCCTTTATCATACAGTTGTGTCAGTCCAATTGTGAAAGAAAACAAAACGAGAAGGAACATCCCAAGAAATTTTCCAAAATCCTGTAACATCTGTCCCATTGAAATCTGTGGAATATATTAGATAGGTGGAGGAAAATAAAATATGAAACATTAAATGACTGGACAATAAAAGGAAGAAAAGAGCTACTCCTTTCATTCCACAATCAATCCAGCTGCCTAACAAAAAGCCATTCTAATCATCCCAACACTGTGAATGTTGGACGGTACATTCCTTGAATCTGGATCAGGTCTGCAGAGAACACTGTTGCTCTGAAATTACATAGAGAAGACATGGAGATTTAAGAAAAGGCCTTGCTGGCAAAGGACAGGAGGAACATTTTTTGCTCAAACCTAAAGGAAATAAACGCTTCTTAAATTTTACAAATATAAAGTCACGGTTACATATATTTCATTTAATATTGTTTTTAAGATTTATTTATTTATTAATACAAGCACTGGGTACAGTCAGAAGCGCGGGAGGGTGAGAGAATTCACCAGAGCCAGAGCGGGGAGCAGAGCGGGCAGAAGGACCAAAGTAAACTGCTGAGGGGAGCAGCGGGCGGCAGGAGAGGTCTGCGCGCCTTGTGGGACCCTCACCCGGTGGCTGGGGATGGAACCAGGGATGGAACCGGGGATGGAACCGGGGATACAGAGGCTGCGGGCAGCTTCGCAACCCAGCGCTCAATCACTGCGCCACCCGGGAGGCCCTATTTCATTTAATTTTTGCAACCAATTCTATGTATGTGTGTGTGTGTGGGGGGGGGGGTGTGATATAGTGCTCTAATTTCATTCTTTTTGTATATGATTATCCAGTTTAACCAGCACCATTTGCTTTTTTAAACTATGCAAGTTTTTTTTTATAATTGTAATTTTTTATTTTTTACATCATTGCTCATTTTTAAACAATATTTGCTTACCCTCTACCCCCTCAAGTGTAGTCCCCATAGAATTTCCTTCACCAATGCACCCGTGCACCATCACCTCAGTCCTCTCTGCTCCTCCCTCCCTCCCTCTGATCCCTCCCTCCTCTTCCCCTGCAGTATGCCTCTGATTTATAATTGTCTGTTTTTGCTTTCCCTCTTCTTCCTGCTGGATGAAGACTTGATAAGAGAGAGCAAGGAGCTTCCAACCAAGAGAACCAGCCACACTCTGAAGATGGCAGGCTAAGACGAGAGAAGGTATCTTTATCTTTAAATGACTTTCCAGAAGAGCTGCATCAGCCTTGGAATGCCTAACTCTAGATTTCTTGTTACCAGAGAAAAATAAATCCCTCATTTACTCTGACCACTCTTTTTGGGTTTTCTATTTCATGCAATCTGAACTCACTTAAATTTACTAATCCTATATTTTAACAATTCTTTTATGGGATAAATACAGTTCACGAAAGGCCAACAGCTATACTGCTCATAATGTAGTGTCATAACTATAATGTTATGGTCTAGAAATAACAGACTCTCCAAATTATATTACATTTTCTAAAAGCTTATCTAAATATCTAAAAATTATAGATAGAAATAGAATGAAAATGCTTAAATGGACATTTTTCTAATTTAATTATTTTGGCTTTTTTAGCATGGCATAATAAACCCAAATAAACAATAATCTAAATTTCCTTAACATAAATGATATAAATCACAAATCCATTTAATGCTAAGTATTTTTTTTAAAGATTTATTTATTTATTTATTTATTTATTTATTTATTTATTTATTTATAAAAGCACTGGGTACAGCCAGAAGCGCGGGAGGGTGAGAGAATTCACCAGAGCCAGAGCGGGGAGCAGAACTGGCAGAAGGACTGAAGTACACTGCTGAGGGGAGTAGCAGCTTCACAACCCAGCGCTCAACCGCTGCGCCACCGGGGAGGCCCTAATGCTAAGTATTTTGACTGAAAAATTTAGGGAGTGAAAATATAAAAGGAGGGGGCCTCCCTGGTGGCACAAGGGGTTAAGTTGCAGCACTATGAAGCTATCCCTAGCCACTGCAGCAGGGGTTCCAACCCCAGCTAGGGAGGTGACCCACATGGTGCAGCAGACCTCTCCTGTCTTGCCTGCTGCTCCCCTCAGCAGTGTATTTCAGTCAGTCTGCCCATTCTCCACTCTGTCTCTGCTGAATCCTCTCACCTCAGGCCTGCACCCCAGCTCTTATATGCATAAATAAATCAATCTTTAAAAAAAAGGAAATTACAGCTCCAAAGTAAGTGTGGTATGCTGTGATTTCTGACCTCATTTCCATGACAAGTTTAGATTTCCTGTTTCTCCCTTCTTCTTTCCAGTTCCTAGTGCATGTTTCCTTTTTACTGTTTTTATTCCCTTTCCTTAAATGCTCCAAATATGTAAGTGAATTCTACATATTAAATCCTTTCTTTTTATCAATATTTTAATTCTGGTTTCTTGGTTTTGAAAGAAATTTTTAGTAGTAAATATGATTAGCAAACTAACTCAAATTCTTTAAATTTTTTAACGTGTCTTTTGATTGTTTTTTAAATTGATTTACTATTGGTTTACAAAATTGCAAAAGTTTTCACTATGAATCAGTGGTTTTGCAAGAGAGGATTTCCTAATTAGAACATATTCAAGTATAGGGGATTTATTAAATAGTGATTTATTCCTATGATGGAATACTATGGCACCCTTAAAAATAATTTAACAGAAGAACTTAACCAACTGAAGAAATGTTTATGATTAATGTAAGCTGAAAAAAGCAAACTAGAAACAAGCAAACTGACATTCACCAAAATGATAGTAAGTTACTTCTGAATGATTATAAGATGATAGTTGATTGTTTTCTTTGTCCTTACTATGTTTTCCAAGTACTTCATAAGAATATGAATTACTTCTATAATCAGAAAAATTTACTTTGGAAATATACGATTCTGACTAGATTTCTCTCAACTCACTCTGAACATGATTTCTACTAGCCCCATGTATAACCTTTGCCCGTGGAAATGCTCTATGTCATGATTATGATGGTGATTACTCAGTAAGAAATCTAAGCAATTCTCTTCTATGAGTTTAGTCCACATAGGGTTTCTGATATTTTACTTAACGTTCATAAATTGTGGGATTAGTAGTTAGATTTACAAATATTTCTGGCTGATTGACTTAATTTTATTCATTATAGAAATTATATTTATGTAAATTTATAGAGAAAAGTTAACATCCACTGACTTTTTCACTTCGCTTTTTAAAACATTAACTTTTAGTAGAGTGACATACAGTAAGCTGCATACATTTTTGTGTACAACTTGATGCATTTTGACATGTGTATATACTAATGAAGTCATCAACATAATCAAGGTAGGAAACATGCTCATCACCACCAAAGTTCCCACATGCCCCTTTGTGTTCATGTATTTCCTATCACTGAAGATTCATAAATGTTATTATAATTTCTTTGTTTTATGTCACTGATAAAGTTTTTGAGTGTTGTATTCCCTAACCCCGTTTTCTTCATAAGCTCTGTGATTTTCATCACATAATTTCATACATTGCAATAATTTTTAGGAACACATATATCACATTATAGCAGACTAGTTGAGTCCTGGTTGTTATTACAGATTACATTATACTAAATCCTTGTCAGATACACGCTTAGCAAATTTTTTCTTCTCTCCCTCCCCACCATCTCTTACGCACTTTGACCCTTTATCCCTTCCCTCTTTCTCTTAACCTCAGAAACTTCAGTTCATTTAATAATGTCCATCAGCTTTTGTGTTTTACTCTTTGTCATATTGCCTACTTTGTGAATGTCCAGTATTTGCCTTTGTCATTCTGACTTCCTTAACTACACATAATTCCCTTAACTCCTTCCATTTTGCTGTAAATGACAATATATCATCTTTCTTTATGGCTGAATAGTATTCCATAGTGATAGACCACATCTTCTTGATACAATCTTCTATCAATGAGGGAGTTCAGCAAGATAGCAGCACAGTGAAGATGCAAAGCTCACGGCCTTCATACATTCACAACTTAATTGCAGGGGAGCAAAGTCAATAACCCTTGAAAGATAAATGAACAACTACAGTACACAACAGAAACAACAGTCCATTGGGAAAGGGTAGGAAAAACTGCAAATGAACTGTGTCTGCTAAATTTTTCTTTCAGTTTTTGATTTGCTTTTTCATTCTAACAATAGTATCTTTTAAAGATAAGTATTGGCCCGCGTCTCCCAGGAGCCAGGAAGAGTCGCTGCGCTGGGCCAGTCGGCTCGGAGGCGCCAGATCCCCTCCCAGGACCAGTGAGGCGGGGGCCGCGGCGTGGGGCGAGGAGCCCGGCTTGAGTCCCCTGGAGCCGAGCACTCGCGCCCTCGAGCCCTCGCGGTCTTCCGGGCCCGCCCCACCTGAAGAAATGAATGGTGGACTGGCCCCAAGTAAAAGTACGGTGTATGTATCTAATTTGCCCTTTTCCCTGACCAACAATGATTTATACCGAATATTTTCCAAGTATGGCAAGGTTGTAAAAGTTACTATAATGAAAGATAAAGACACCAGGAAGAGTAAAGGGGGTGCATTCACTTTGTTTTTGGATAAAGACTCTGCACAAAATTGTACAAGGGCCATAAACAACAAACAGTTATTCGGTAGAGTGATAAAAGCCAGCATTGCTATTGATAATGGAAGGGCAGCTGAGTTCATCCGAAGGCGAAACTACTTTGATAAATCTAAGTGTTATGAATGTGGGGAAAGTGGACACCTAAGTTATGCCTGTCCTAAAAATATGCTTGGAGAACGTGAACCTCCTAAGAAGAAAGAGAAAAAGAAAAAAAAGAAAATTCCTGAAACAGAAGAAGAAACCAAAGGAATAGAAGAAAGTGAAGATGAAGGAGAAGATCCTGCCCTTGACAGCCTCAGTCAGGCCATAGCTTTCCAGCAAGCCAAAATTGAAGAAGAACAAAATAAGTGGAAACCCAGTTCAGGGGGTCCCTCAACATCAGATGACTCAAGATGCCCGAGGATAAAGAAAAGCACATATTTCAGTGGTGAGGAAGAACTTAGTGATTAAAGTTGTATTTATTTATGTAAATCTCATTAAACATAATTAAAAAATTTTTTTGATCTTGCAATACCAAGTTCAGTTGGGACTAAAGATTACTCTTAGAATTTGAGCATAAGAACACTTAGTACCAAATAGCTTTTACTGTAAAATACATCATAGGAAATTGAAAAATAATGTTAAAGTATCATGTTTCTGTCTTGCCTTAGCAGAGTAATAAAAAAAATTAAGATTTGTTCATAACCTTTAATCTTGAAGTTTGTTTGAATAAAAAGAAAATGCTGTGACAGTAATGCTGATGTCATCCCCCCAAAAAAGATAGATAGTAAAAAGATGTGTTTGAGAGGTTCAGTATAAAAGCTTATTTGTGTCTGATTGGTTTACATGAGGACTTGTGAAATAACTTTCATCTTTAAAACAAAAATTTCATAAAGACTGAAAGAGTTGAATGATCTATTTTTATTCAATGTTAATAAAATTTTCAAGAGAATTTTGTTTTTTAAAATAAAATAAAATAAAATAAAATAAAGATAAGTATTAAATTTTGATGAAGTGTAATGTCTCAGTTTGTTTTATAGATTGTTCTCTTGGTTTTCCACCTGTAAAATATCTGCCTAACCTAAGATTACACAGACTTTCCCCTATGGTTTCTTCTAGCAGTTTTATAGTTTTGGCCTGGATATTTAAGACTCTGATCCACTTTATTTTTTGTTTCTGTTGTGAGGTATGAATCAACATTCATTTATTTGTCTATCTTGACACCAATACTGTATACTCTCCATTACTGTTGATCTATAATAAATCTTGAAAGCTCTCCCACTTTTTTTTTTTAAAGTTGTTTTGGATTATCTAAATCTTTCATATTTCCATAAGAATTTTAGAATCAGCTTGTTTCTATAAAAAACATGTTCAAATTTTTATTGAAATTGTGTTAAAAAGTACAGATTAAATTGGTGACAACTAGGGCCTCCCCGGTGGCGCAGCGGTTGAGTGCTGGGTTGCAAAGCTGCCCGCAGCCTCTGCAGCACCGGTTTGATCCCCGGCTGCTCCCTGGCCACCGGAGGAGGGTCCCACATGGTGCGCAGACCTCTCCTGCCGCCCGCTGCTCCCCTCAGCAGTGTACTTCGGTCCTTCTGCCTGTTCTGCTCCCCGCTCTGGCTCTGGTGAATTCTCTCACCCTCCCGTGCTTCTGACTGAACCCAGTGCTTGTATAAACAAATAAAAATAAATCTTTAAAAAAATAATAAATAAATTGGTGACAACTGACATCTTAACTAGTTTGAGTCTTCCAGCCTATGAATAAGGTATGTTTCCTTAATTTCTCTCTATAGTGTGGTATAATTTTAAGCATATAGATCTTTCACACATTATCAGAGCCTACTTTCCAGTAATATTACACTACTCATGTATCATCTAGGAACTTTATAAAAATATACTTCCATTTCTCCCAGCCTGGACTTTTAAACTATCATTGCCAAACATTTTACATTTATGCATATTTTACAAAATCCAAATACATTATCATTAGTCTTTTTAATAGTCCACTTTTTTACTTTTAAAATGTCATCCATTTTATCAATTGGCACTATTATTCATACATTGCAATATACCATAGCAGAGATTGACAGAGTACTTTAAATTACTGTCAGATTAGATATACTAAATGTCTTATCTATGTACACATATACATTCTCATGTAATTATAGGTAAAACTTTCTTTAACTCATACTTTTTGGGAGAAAAGTCTCAAATAGCTAATCTAATGAGAGGAGCAAACCGAGAAAGAGACTTTACTTGACTCAGGATTGCCAAGGCCACAATCTTATACTTAAAAGAATCACCTATTCTGTTTTCAGCCCACCACCTCCTCCTCTTCTTTTTCATTTGGAGAAAAAATACAGGTTTAGGAGATAAAGATAGATAGAGGAGCACTTTATCATTATTGTAAGATTCCTCCCAAATCCTGATTCAATCATAGCTATTATCTTTTAAAGAAATTTAAGTTAACAAGAAAAAAAAAACGCTATTTGGCAATGTATTTTACTACTTCCTTTGTGGAACACCTGTATTTTGTTCCTTTTGCTCATTCCTTTGTTTAGATGTATATATATATATATATATATATATTTCCATATGTTATATTTCTTCTGACTAATGCATTCAGCTTTTGCTATGTCTGGAAACATCTTTATTTTATCTTTGTTTTTGAATGATGTTTTCACTGAGCATAGAATACCAGCTTAACGACTTTTTTAGTCTCCTTGTTTACATTGTTTTTAATAAGAAAACTATTATTATTTTTTCCCTTCTGTATATAACTAGATCTTTATTCTCTCCCTGCTGTTAAGTATTCCTCTTTAGGGTAAAAAAAAGCTTTTCTCAATATTTATTACTGAGTTTGAGCAATTTGAATATGATTTCTAGGTTAAGTTTTCCCTTGTTTCTTGTGCTAAAGAGCCCTTGAGCTACACGGATCTGTGGATTTATAATTTTTACCAAATTTGCAAATTTTTCTGTTATTTCTTCAAAAAAATTTTTTTCTGTCCCTCCTTTCCTTCAGAGATACCAATTACAGGCCTCTTGGACCACCTGAAGCTGTTTCACAGTTCACTGGTGTTAATCTGCCATTAATCTCATTCAGAACATGTCTCATCTCTGAATTGAAGCTTTTCATTTTCAAAATGAAAAATTTCATTTCAATTTTCTCTACAAATTTGATCTGAGTCATTGAAAATGTTTTCCTTATCTCTAAACCTCTTGAACATATAAAATGCAATTCCAAGAATTGTTTTGGCATTCTTATCTGCTAATTCCAATATCTGTGTCACTTTTGGATAAGTTACTTGGAAACTAGTTTAGTCCTTTCAGATCTATCTTTTCATATTTGTTGGTGGGATCAGAGCAATGTGTAGTATAAAGGCAATACACTCCTGAGTGCTCTATACAATGACTAGTGTATTATAGGGTGTTCCAGTTTGGCTGGTGTAAAATGGGCCTTTGTAAACTCTGAGTAGTTTCTTTTAATCTTTTCAGATTGTGTCACCAGCTGTATCTCCACAGGCACAGGCACATGCTGACTGGCATTCTGTTCAATACTCAACAGAGGTGCTCTCCAGATCTCTGGAAGTTTTACACTGTATTTTTTTTCCCCCTCTAGTAACTTTTCCTGCAACTTTCCCTTTTTGTCTCACTACATTCAGATCTGTTTCCTAAACCTAGTCAGACTCTGGCTGGGTTTACCCTCTCTGCATAACAGCCAAAATTTCTCAAAGGCAGTAGCTTGTGACAATCTTTATTTCTTGTTTCTTAAAGATTGTTGTTCCAAATTGCCTTACATCTAGCTTCTTATAAACTGTTGTTTCATAAATTTTGCCGTTACTTTTCCCTTTTGGTTGTTTCAGGCAGGAAGGTGAATCCAATTCTTATTACTCCATATTGGGTGGAAAAGAAGTCAGAAAATAATTTTATTCCAAAATAAAATTATACTCTCTCATTTTTAACTTATAGAAATTGATAAATTTCCAATATAGAAACCTAGTGATATCACCTCATCAGTTTTTATCAAAAAATAAAATTTATCAATGTACACATATAACTACTTGATTAAAACATTTATATAGGATATTAGTGACAAAATTAAGTCAAAACAATAGTTTAAACCACTTTCACACATGTTTTAGAGAGAAACAGACTTGAGTATATTTTATGAAAAATATGGCTATGACTTTAAGTAAATTTAGTTAATGATACCTTGAAAAAGTAATGAAACAAATTTCATTATTTCTTTCTCAGAGGCTTTGGTGATAATATGCATTGTGAATTCCCAAAAAAGATATACAGTATGTGGTGTGTCTCAAATTTATCTCAATCAGAGCATCTGACTATCATTATTTCAATCAGAGCACACTCAGTTAAGAGAGCCATACTTCAGGAAACTGCTGAAGGAGCAAAAACCAAATCACACCAGTTTTTTCCTACAAATTTATTTTCATAACCTTTTTAGAGAAGATCATTATACCTTTTTCTAAAATATCTCCTTTAGGAATATTAAAAAAGGATCTAAATTGTTGGTAAATTTTGACTGATTAAGGAAAAATGAACTTTTTTCGGATTTTCAGACTTGTAACTTAGCACATTATGTAGAGTTAGTCATCTAACAGAGTTGATCCCATCTTCTAAAAACAACAAACTGCTAAAACCTGTGAAGTAAATTCTACCAATTATGAGTCCTTTCTTTAGTGTAAAAAGATTTAAAATTTGGTCCTGTGCTCTCAAAAGCTCCATTTCTTGAACTAAAAAACATAAAGCTGAACTACACAAACTGAGTATTTTAACTCAAATAGTCTATTTTCCAACTTAGTATATTTGATATACTAAAAAGTGAAAACGCTTTTTAAACTAGAGCTAACATATCTTCAAAATCACCATGAAGTATGATTTCTGTTTGCAGATGACTTCCCTTATACTAGAGATTAAAACTTGAAACGTAAGACTCATTTTGACAAAAAGCAGATTTTTATGTTCCTCTATTCTCTGAAGTCTAACTATATTTTAAAAATATTTGTCTATGGAGTGAGTAGCAGGAGATAACAAACCACAATTTAATCAAGTTTGAATACCTGAAAGTAAAGGATTATCATTCATCAAGAAACAAAGCAAATGAAGATGCTTCTCCTTCCAATTGTAATTATTTTTCAAAAGCAAAGTTTAGCCTTAACATCATGAGGGAACAATTCTGATGGACAACAGAAAGCCATAGTAATAATGACATCTAACAAACACTTTTTTAGGAAATTTTAATTATTTACCTGTAATGGACCCAAGATAGAACTTGTTGTATACATAAAAAAGAGACGAAGATAACTCAGAACATTTGCAAATGCAAACAGCCCTTCTGCCACCAGTGTAGGATGGAATGCATCCCAGTCTTTTCGATCAGCAAAATCATGAAACTAAGATCAGGAAGAAAAAAAAATCAAAAATAAACAATTCTCTCAATTTAGGGAAAGAAAAACAAAAAGAAAGAAAACTATTTTAATTATGTCTCCTTATAGGGAATCTCCATTTGTTTTATATGGTTCTCATTTTTAAAAAGAAATAGCAATGTTTTGAATAAATAATAGATTTCATGTATATGAGGCACTATAACTTTACATAGAGTTTTTCACAGAAATTCTTAGGTTTTAAAAAATTGCTATGACAGGAATCTAGAAAACTTAAATAAGGGACCAGGAAAAAGAATAACTATAAGAAAGAAAATGTCAAAATCAACAAACAACTATGAACCAGAGACACTCTATGGGGGGTGGGGGGCGGGGAAAGGAAGGTTGGAGTCAAAATAAGGGGGTTGTAATTGTAAGGGGAATATAAAAATAAAATTTAAATAATAAAAAAAATAAAAAATTTACCCAAAAATAAATAAATAAAAATAAATAATAAATAAATAAAATTAAAAAAAATTGCTATGAAACTTTTTATAAATGAAATTTTGGCAAGTTTTTCTTAAATCTCATAACAAACTTTGTGTGCTTAATTACTTAATGTATGTGTATATTAAATTACTTTAAATTTAAATTACTTTATGTATGTGTGCATTAAAAGCCTTTGACTCAGGATTTTAGAATAAACCATAAAGGTTCTTGTCCCTTTTAAATGCCAAGAAAAAAAGTATATTACTGTACCTAGACTTATAGTATTATTCCTCACATATTCCAGTGCCTATAAGAGTCCCAGGTTATATACCAGTTTCCGAGTATAGTCATTAGTAATGCTCCCTTTTACTTTAAAAGGGCACCTCAATTCTAGAACTAAAGGGACAATGCGTCCTAATTTCTTTATAAAATCTATATTTATCTGTTTTAATTTTAAGTTTCTTAACAAATTTCACAACTCTAGTCTTTGAATGTACGCAATAGACTTCTATTCTACTGATGAGTTAAAGGAATAGAGTTTTTTAATAAAGTAAACTGATATAAAACTTTTCTGTAATTTAGCTTAATAAAAAATATTGTATTGCATTTTTATATTTAATATAAAACATAATATACTATAAAATCTATTACATTTCCATACTTGGGAGAGCTTAAATTTTGACAAAAGTAAAATTATAGGATATTTATAAGACTAGATTTTTATCAAATTCTAAACTTTAAAAACATAGGCATTTCATTTTTGATGAAAATAATTACATCACTTTTTAAGTTAATTACATTTATTACATTCTGTCACTTTTTAAGCTATGGAAAATAATAACCATGATTTGGAATGTTATAATACTATATAGTGAATTCCATTCAGATAAAATTTTTTCCTGGCAGATATAAAGATACATAATATTAATCAATTTAAGTTATTTTGTGTTTTCATTTTAAGTAAATACAGTTTAATGAGGTGAACAAACTGAGCTCAGATATAAAGAACTAGGATTTGGCAGAAAGAAAATGGCTAGGCAAATCTGGATTTAAATCAGTCTTGCTTTCTTACTGCCTGGTCTTAGGCAAGTTACTTAGTATCTCTAAGTAACTTATTCATTATTTATCCCTTATTTGCAAAGTGAGAATAAGAACTTAAGTCTCACACACATATGTCTGCAAGGATAAAATGAGACAAAGTACAGCAAATGTCAACCACAGTGTCTGACTGTCTGACTCACAGGTAACCACTAGTTAAAGGTAAGTGACATCCCATACACTACTGGAAAGAAAGGCAACAATGTGCACACTTTCCTTGCTCAGGGACAGGTTTGAAATGAAAATACACTAGAAAAGGGTTTGGGCCAATGTAACTCTGAGTTATATAACTTAGTATCTCCAGTTTTTCCTACATAAACTTCATTTATGCTCCCAATTGATAGAGTCAATAGTCACCTTGTTGTGTGCAACCACTTTGAGGGCAAAAGTTGCTAAATAAAGTGAATTCATGACAAAACTGAGTTGATTACGAGATTCTTCTAAAAAGTCTTCCAACCCTTCATACCAAAGTCTTTTAATGTCTGACCAAATCATTCCTAAAAAAGAGAAGAAAAAGAAATCAGATAATGCTCTCTTAATTCAATATTAAACTAAAGGATACTTTAAAACTCAAAGTATTCAATAAATAACAGGTGAGTTACAGCCTTCCTCAGAAGGAAAAAAATTAAGAAGTAAAATGTTCTCAAGCTTTGAGTGAAAATAACCTCAACTTTCACATGATAATATATTCCTCAGAAAGGGATTTTAGGTCTTGACTATTTTGACAATAAAGCCAGTAAAGTTTGCTCTTGCACTGAAGGCACAGTTTAAAAGAAACGTGATGAGTCAGGGATGATTACTGCCACTTCAACTTCAAGCCACCATATGAAACAAGCATAAGAAAACAAATAAATTTTCATCTCTCATACATACCCTTCAAGGGCTCAGTTTCCACTCCTTTTCTTTTCTCTGCATTCACTCCCTTGATTTCATCCAGTTTCATCTAATGACTTTAGTAAATACCATCTATGTGTGACTTTCAAATGTTTATCTCTAAACTCAGCCTATATTTATATAACAATTTATCTCTCTAAACCTCTCACCTACACTCAACTTGTAGAGGTACTTGGCTATGCTACATCTCCAAAAGAATACCTAAATATGTCCAGATTGAACAAATAATCTCTGCCTCCTAATTCACTGCACTTGCAGAGTTCCCAGTCTCAGTTGACGGCAATTCCAATAGCCGCTCAATCCAAACACTCTTGAATCATACTCGACTCACTTTTTTTTTTTTTTTTAAACTGTGCATTCAATGCAAGAGCAACCCTCTTGGCTTTACTGTCAAAATAATTAAGACCTAAATCTTCTTACTGCCACTACAACTTCAAGCCACCATCCTATCTTGCCTGGATTACTGAAATAGCCTATTTGGTCTTCCTATTTGTACCTTGATCTCCCTAAAATCTATTCTTAAAACAGCAACCAGAGTAACCCTTTTAAAATGCAAGAGATACTTCTAACCTGAAAACCTTACTAGTAGCTCCCAGAGGAGGAAGGATTAAAAAGCAGGTTAGAATTTTTCCCCATGGAGTCATCACTTCATGTTATTACCTATTAAAGAGGTTTCCTATGTTAAGAAAAAATACCTGAGGTCAGCTATGTTCAACATCATTATAAAGACAACCATTGACTAGGAAACTGCATCTGGACTAAGAGGACTGAGTGGGCTCATAGAACCCAAAGGGTTTTACAGCTAGAACTGAATAAAAACATGCTGAGAAACACACAGACTAAGCCTTAGAGAGTGCCTGCAGTGAGAGTCAGGTTCTTGGGCTTTATAAGATATGTAGTTCCTGCTAGATTTGAGGCTTCCATATCTGGGGTAAGCTATACCAACCCAGTCTGGTCCTTGCCAGCTCAGTGTGCCCACTATGAGTCTGGAAAGGAGCCTCAGACTTTTGTAAGACTTTCCAATGAGTATCTGTTTGAAACTGTTATTCTGACCCATGTTGTGTTTCCTGATAGCCTTCTACAAAGTTAAGTAAACTTGGTGCCAGGCTTCAACCTATTGTGTCCTTTCAATGTGAATGTCAATGAAAATCCACTGCTGTTGATTATGTATAGTGGGGCATCACGATTTTTTTCACACCTCTCATTTTATTTAGAGGAGAAACCAAATTCCTCATAATGTCTACAAGGTGCTCTATTACCTCTTTTCTGACTTCATCTCCTATAGATCTTTCCTTGGACTTTTTATCACACTCGTTCCCTTATTTCCCTCCAGTTGTCTGAGCACACAAAATTCTAGCTCAGGGCCCTTACGTTAGTTCTCCTCTTTGTCTGGAAGTTCCTCACCCAGAGATTCATTTAGCTGACTCCCTCACTTCGTGTTCTTAACTACTCTGATCATCCTGTTTAAAATAGCAAATCCCATTCCTCCTACTCCCAGGACCCCTAACTCTTTTTCAAGCCTTCTTTTCCCTTAGTACTTAGTACTTTCTAACACTGTCTATTGTTACTTATTATGTCTACTATTAACTATCTTTCCATCACTCTGGGTAAGTTCTTCAAAGGTAGGATTCTTTATTAACCAGTATCCTAATTATTCTGAATAGGACCTGATACATAGTGGGTGCTCAAAAAATTTGCTAAATGAATAAATATACCCAAATAAAAAAAAAAAAAACACCTTCCCCTTTTTTTGGTCAGAAGTTTTCTCTCTCTCTCTCTCTCTCTCTCTCTCTATCTATCTATCTATATATATATATACACACACACACACATTTACATATGTGTGTGTGTATTCATATATATATTCATTCCTAGGAGTACCAAAGAACAGTATTATCCAGGAAAGTTTAATGGTTCATTCTTTCATTAGGACATTTTAAAGCAGAATATAAAATAGAGCGTTACAACATAACACTCGCCACAGCCTTAGCTGCCCAACCTACTCACTACACTGTAGCCAGAATCATCTTTTCATAAGGCAAATCTGATTGTGTCACTCACCTAATTAAAAAAAATTCAATGATTTTCCATTACTCTTATCATAAACTAAAAATCAGTTAACATGACTTATAAGATTGTTCATGGTCAGGCGTGGTATTTGTTACTACAGCTCCATCCTGAATTTCACTACTTTTCTTTGCCTTGCTCCACTCTTTCACTCAGGCCTTTCTTTGTACATGTGTACTCTTGCCACAGGGTCTTTGAGTAACTTTTATATCAGCCTAGAGTACTCTTCTCTCCCAAGTCTCCTAGTTGATTCCAATTTATCCTTTAAAACTTAGCTCATTTATCACTTCTTCGAGATAGCCTTTCCAACCTCCATGCTAGGTAAATGCGCTATAAAAAGCTTGTTCTCTTAATTCCATGACTTTTTACTTAGTATTTGTGATTTTTCATTTATCTGTGTGATTCTTAAATGGTTTATGTGTTTTTTTGTTTTAATTAGACCATACGCTCCATGAGTACCGGGCAGTATCTATTTCTACCTGTGTTTAGACAAAGTAGGTACACAACATTTTTCTTCTTTTTTTTATTAAAAAAAATAATGTTTTGGGCCTCCCGGGTGGTGCAGTGGGTTGAGCGCAACGCTGTGGAGCTGTCTGCAGCCTCTGCAGCTCGGTTCAATTCCTGGCCAGCCAGGAAGATGCCCACCTGGCGCGGCAGACCTCTCTTGTCTGCCTGCTGATCCCCTCAGCAGTGTCTTCGGTCCATCTGCCTGTTCTGCTCCCTACTCTGTCTCTGGTGAATCTTCTCACCCTCCCACACCTCTGGCCTGTAGCCCCATTTCTGTATAAATAAAAATAAATCTTTAAAAATAAATAAATAAATGTTTTTATAATAGCTGCTTTATCTTCTAACCCCCCAAAATTAAGTAAAAATATGTTAACATTCTCTATTTAATAACACATTGTTTCATTTTTTCCTACCTTGCTTTTTATAAATTAACCAACTATTTTCCATAGGGCTAAGGAAAAGCAGCAAGAAATAGATGTACAAAAAGTGGTCATGGGCCTCCCCGGTGGCGCATTGGTTGAGCGCTGGGTTGCAAAGCTGCCCACGGCCTTTGTGGCACCGGTTCGATCCTCGGCTGCTCCCTGGCCACCGGAGGAGGGTCCCACGTGGCGCGCAGATCTCTCCTGCCGCCCGCTGCTCCCCTCAGCAGTGTACTTCGGTCCTTCTGCCTGCTCTGCTCCCCGCTCTGGCTCTGGTGAATTCTCTCACCCTCCCGCGCTTCTGACTGTACCCAGTGCATGTATAAACAAACAAACAAACAAATAAATAAATAATACATGCCTCTTTAAAAAAAAAAAAGTGGTCATGAGTGAAGTCACTGTGCTCACTGCTTGAAATACTGCTTCAGACAAGCAGGCAAACTCTCCCTACATGGCTCCTTATAACAGGTTCAGATTTATACATGTAAGGAAACCCATGGCGATATAATTACAAAACAGGCTTAGAAGACATCCTTGGCTAAGTTTATTCAGATTTAATTGTTTCAAAGCAGAAAGTGGACTTGAGAAAAGTAAAACACTTGCAAGAATTTTAAGTGTCTTAATTCACATTGCACTCTTCTCCAAAGGCAGAAGATGATTAGAAAAATTAATCCTATTTGTGTATGTGTGCACGTGTGTATATAGGGTCATGAAGCTTAAAAAAGAGTAGCCATAGTTTTACTATTATTACGAAATCAACAACAGTAGCAATATTTATGCTATCCAGAGAAAAGTGTGACTGAGTTCAGTGTGTTTTTAATGATACTAAGAATCAAAATTTTAATTTGATTGTTATTTATTTAGATTTAGGTAAACTCAATTATTATTTAAGAGACAAAGAAAATATTCCTTCTTACTACTACTTAAACAGGCTACAGGTAAATGAAATAAAAAGTCCTTTTTTTTTTGAGCAATGTTCTGTAACAAGCTTTCAGAAGTACTTTAAATGAACAGAGAGGAAAAATGCTTCTTTGAGATTCCTTACAGCATAAAATTGTTTACCTACTTATATAACACAATTTTGCACTGTAAAGATCTACAACAATGCAATCTGGAACTCTACACAATGTAGTATAAACTATTTCTGAAAATAAAATATTAAATTTGAGGTAAGAACAAAAGATCACTCTATTCAGTGATCAATAGAGATAAACTCATGCCATTTGCAGCAACATAGATGGAGCTTGAAAGGATAATGCCAGAGAAGTAAGTCAGAGGAGAAAGATAAATACCAGATGGTATCACTAATATGTGGAATATAAAGTAATTAAATTAATAGTCAGATAAAGACAAGCTGAAAAACTAACCCTTGATAGCTGACTACAGAACTGAGACACCAAAGGGGAAAAGGAAGGAAGGAAGCACAATGGTCTGCGGTGGGGAATATGGGTGAGTAAACAATAAAAAGTAAGCAAATTTGAGGTAAGAGAGAAAAACGAAAATATTAACAACAAGGAATCATTTAATTCTCTTTAATCTTGAATTCACATGTATATTATTTTTATTTTACCTACCTAATTTTAAACATTAATCCATCAAGGATTCACTACAGCTAAAAGTAAAACTGATTGAAATTAATTTATTTGAAATTAACTGATTTCTACATAAAAATCTTAAAATTTGAAATTTTTTATACCCGAACTAAAAGTAACATTGTATATCTTCCATATTATTTAATGACTGAAATAATCAAGTGCATATTCAATAACTGTTTTTTATCATATAAAAGACTAAATATCAATATTCTTTTACTCTATAGCAAATAGTAGAAGGACAAGTGGGAAGTGCTGACATAAAAAACAAGCTTGAAGATCAGAGAGAAATAAAAAGTAATTAAAAGACCATAAATAGACAATGTGATTGTATCTCAACTTCCCACTCTCTTCTTCCAAAAAATGGAGAGGGTAATAAAAACTGCAAAAGGTTGCTTAAGATATTCATTATACAGTAAAATGAATTTCAGAAATTAAAATGTCTTATTTTTGAAAATGCATTTCTAAAGGTATCTGCTTTCATTACAAAGAACTGATTTATAGAGTGAGTCACAAGGGACCCTTTCGATTTTATTTATTTATTTATTTATACAAGCACTGGGTACAGTCAGAAGCATGGGAGGGTGAGAGAATTCACCAGACCCAGAGCAGGTTGCAGAACAGACAGACCAACGAAATACACTGCTGAGGGGAGCAGCAGGCGGCAAGAGAGGTCGGCACACCATGTGGGACCCTTGCCAGTGGCCGGAGATTGAACCGGCGCTGCAAAGGCTGCGGGCAGCTTCGCAGCCCAACACTCAACCGCTGCGCCACTGGGGAGGCCCACAAGGGACTCTTTTAAATCTAAATTTAAATAAACTATAATAGAGATGAAGTAAGATGTAACTATATAGTTCTTAGGTTCTTAAATGGAAAACTAGTATATAAAAATATAAAAATCCTAAAATTGAACTGAGTATAAAATGTATCACTTTTCCAAATACCCAAGAAAAGGTTCATATTCTTATACCAAAAAACATTCATCTGTAAAATTTGTTTTCTTGCTTTAACAAGCATGAAAATTTTAAAGACAGAGGAAAAGAATTTTTTTAACTTCATATAATTAAGTAACATTAAATAAAAGATCTGTTTCCTTGTCAAGTTCGGGAGCATTGATCTTTACAAAATTGTTAAATTTTCGATAATCACGGAAATACCCAAATTCTTGCTGTAATAAACAGTGTAAACTAACAAATTGAACATAGATATTATAATGCCACCAAGTAAAGGAGAATTAACAAGCTAAAGAAAAGCAGTTTTGAACTAACTTAAGACTTACCAATAATCCACAGAATAAGAAGATAATCAATTCTTTCAAGGGCTGGCCCCATTGTGTTTTTCTTATCCTCATTGTAGACCAGAGAATATAGATTTAGTAACAGCAGGAATGTGAAATAAGATGCTCCATGAATAATAAATTTCATAAAGGGTGTGTGAATGATTCTGCCAAATTGAGATTTGGGAGCTATCAAATAACAAAGTGACAAAACTGGCCAAAAGATGCCGACTGTCAAAACAGTCATTATCTTCTTACAGGTGGGCTTACGTCGGTAACCTGACATCTGTCCAAACCAAACAGTGTTCAGGAACTGCTGGCAGTTAGACTGGGAGACAAACTGAAAAGAACACATGCACATACAAAGAGAAAGTTAAAATCTTTAAATACAAATCAATATCATTATTTAATTAATATTAAAAGTTTTAATAACAGTTTAAAAATCAATTCTATGGAGTCAACACGGTTTCCCTCCCTGCAACCTCCTGCCCCAGTATGTAATAAAAAGAGTATAGAGGTTAAGAGCATAGACTCTGGAGCCAGATTACCTAGATTCAAGTCCAAATTCTACCACTTATTAAATGACCTTGAGCAAGTTTTTGTACCTCTCTAGCCCTCAAATTCTTCCCATGTAAAATGGGAATAACAATAACACCTACTCGTAAACTTGTTATGGAAATTAAATGTAAAGTTCTTAGGATAGTGCCTGGTTCATAGCATTTACTTAATATAAGTTCCTGATTCTTCATCTGCTACTCAGGCACCAGCCATATGAGTGAAGAAGATTCCACATGATTGTAGCCCCCATCATTTGAATTCTCTCCTGCTGAGACCCTAGACATGGTAAAGCAGAGACAAATCATCCTCACTGGGCACTTTGCTAATTCCTTATAGAATCCAAGAGAATAATAAAATGATTATGATATGTTTAACACCACAAAGGTTCCGAGAGCAGTTTGGTTTCAGGATGGATTAACTAAACAAAGTCTACCAACAATTGGCAGTATTATTTTCCCCTTTGTTTATATATAAACATTGAATTTGAAAAATTAAATTACATTTTCATTCATTCTCATAAGTAGAGTTATTCCTTTCAACTAAAAATATTACTATTAATTCAGGTTTCCTTTTCTTTCATTTTCTTTAAAACTGAGTATTTGCTTATTCTCTGTGAGTCTTTCAGGGATGAATATATATCTGTGTGTGTGTGTGTCAGAGACAGACAGAGAGACACACAGACACATGATTAGGAAAATGTTCTTAGATTTTTCTACACTAACTAGGATAATCTTGGTTCTCTTGGTTCTGTCCACCTCTTGTTGAGGTTCCTTTCCAATCACTTATATTGATTTTGTATCTTGTCTCTTTATTCTATCATTTTCTAGTATTTCATGTCAGTTGTAAGTTGTAGAACACGGAAGTAATAAATTAACCTAGATCTAGTCAGTGGGTCTTGTCAAAATGTATTTGAGCAAGATTACATCAGGGTTCCAAATCTGTTTCTACTTACACATATCAGCATCGTGTTTCCTTTTTAAGACACGTAGGTATGTTTTTGATTTATTATTTTGTAACTATGCTGATCTAAATCTTTGTACTTAATTATATTCCTATAAATGTTCTACTTTGGACAAGAACCTTGGAATTCTAGAGAAGCATAGGATTTGAGGCCAGCTATCTGAATAAACAATGAAATATCTAGGTAATCTTAAACATCTCAAAAATCCTGTATCAATTTCCTGAATCATAAAACTATTGTGAGGCTTAAACTTCAACCAAGATAATAAAAAAATCTGCTCCTCGCCCCAAATGTCCTATATCTTGCCATCTACTATTTTAGGACATGTTTTTCAGTTAATATAAATTTGATAAGCAACTTTTATTCCAATATCTATGCTGATAAAAATGAATCTTAGAGTCATACCTTAGAAGACATACTATCAACTAGATATCATTATCTACACATAAACACCCAAGTTTAGTAAATTATCTCAAAAAATGAAATTTAAAATGCATACCTTCCTTCTTCAAGTTCCTGATCATATGTATGTGTGTGTATGGGGAGTAGAAAAGAAGTAGATATTTCCCTTAATAAAAAGGAATGATGCCAGAAGAGCCAGATTCAACTTAGTTATCATATCATGCACCTCTCCACCTTTGGGTTTCACAATGAATTAAACAGAAAGGAGCTATCATTATAGAAAATGCTATTTATAACCAGATCAATAAAACAAACCTAAGACAGACAAAATATAAGATGAGAACTTCATTATAAGGGCACTTAATACACACAATCTTACCTGCATAGCTACTACTAAGTAAAAACATTAAATTAACATCTGTATTATTACTATAATTAATATTATTAAAAACACTAGTAACTACCATTTATTGAATACTTGCTTAATGCTAATACTCATTGTGCTAAACTTTTTATATATTCTAAAGTAATTTTTAAAGCTAAAGGTCAGATAGATTCAGTAACTTTCCCAAGGACACACAGTTTTTATGAACATTCTAGGATCTTAACCAGTGTGTTGCTCCAAAGACTTTGTTCTCAGACACTAGACTTCTGTAGAGGAAATATCTTAAATATATCACAGAAAATCTCATACCTCCTTTTGGTTATATTTGATAGCAAGTTTTAGGCGACTCAAATTCATTCTTTCTTCCAGTAATCCCCGTTTGTCAAGAGGTTCATCACTAGATGTATGATTTAGGATAACTTCCAATTCACGTGAATTCCGTGCTTGTGCAAGCAAATCTTTAGCAAACATTTTACATTGCCGAGCCAGTTCCTCATAATCATTCCTGCAAAATGGAAGTGTAAATCTATTAGTAGAAATGTCACATCCACCTTCTAATTAAGCTATTTTCACTGGAAAATACTTATTCAGTAATATTTTAATTCTGATAAGTGCTACAAAAAAAATCTGAAGTTATTTTGTTCTCCTAGCCAAAAGAGGCTAGCTTCCAGGGCATAACTTCTCCCCAGTTTAGGGAAACTTATCCAATAGAAATAACATCTTAATGCTATCCAATAAACATGATTACCTAATTTTTATCTAGACGTTATTTTAATAGACTAAACATGTTTATGTTACTCCTGATATTTTAATAGTATCGCGATACATTTTTAAAGAGCGCATTTGAACAAAACTCAAGTTAGAAAGACAGACACTGAAACGCACCTACTAAAGAATTCACTTTCAGGGGCCTTCCTGGTGGCCTAGAGGTTAAGCGTTAAGGCCTGAGTTCGGTCCCCAGATAGGGAGCTAACCACATATGGCATAGCAGATGTCTCCTGTCTCGCCCACTGCTCCCCTTAGCAGTGTATTTCAGTAAATCTGCCTGTCTGCTTCCCATTCTGTCTCTGGTGAATCCTCTCATCCCCTGCACTTCTGATCTATCCCAGGTCTACAAAATAAAATAAACATTTTCTAAAAAAAAGAATTCACTTTCAGAATCTGTACTTCTTGAAACTTAATCTGATTTTACAAGATGGAAATAAACCAATTTGAGAGAAGCTATGACATCTTAATAGAATATTTTTTTTTAATATCAAATACATTAAACTTATGTCTGAGTTAAATACTTAGACATAAAATAAGAAATAATGAGTTTATTGGGGTTGTACATCAGAAAACAATACTAATTTTTCTCAAAATGATGAAGGGAAAACAGGAACTTTCTAATTGATCAATCTTTCTACACAATAGGGTTTTCCAAGAACTGGCTACATAAAATTATAACTCAAAAAATCAAAAACTTCTTTTCCTTAAGGCTAATATTTCCCTCAGACTTTTCGCATTTACTATATAACTAAAACTACCTAAGAACAAATAGTTGCATTTAACAAACGACTTCATTGTTTTACAATTTCTATTTACTCCCACCTGAATTCCACCTCCACAAGGCTTAGTTCCTTTAAATCAGCACTAAGTTCAAATGCTCTCAGAATTGGATCTTCCTCTGTTAACATTATTAGAGCTGGACTGGCCAAACATCGATATATATCAAGACGAAACCTGTGATAAAATTTGATTTATAATGTAAAGTAAAATTATAGACATATTAGTATTTTAACCTAAAATTGAAGTATTATGAAATGAAAACAGAACTGTAGTAGACTTATGACCTGCATTAAAAAAGACTTATGGGCCTCCCCAGTGGCGCAGCGGTTGAACGCTGGTTTGCGAAGCTGCCTGCAGCCTCTGCAGCGCCAGTTCAATCCCCGGCTGCTCCCCGGCCACCGGAGGAGGGTCCCACATGGCATGCAGACCTCTCCTGCCGCCCACTGCTCCCCTCAGCAGTGTACTTCGGTCCTTCTGCCTGTTCTGCTCCCCGCTCTGGTTCTGGTGAATTCTCTCACCCTCCCGTGCTTCTGACTGTACCCGGTGCTTGTATAAATAAATTAAAAAAATCTTAAAAAAAAAGGTCTTAAAAATTAAATATTTTAAAATACATTGAAAATGTTTCTGTTTCTTTTAAGGAAATTGTCTAGTTTTTTTTTTTTTCATTGACTCAACACTTTCCATTGTTCAATATAATTTTAAATTTTAAATTCCTATTCCTGAACCCAACATTATTCTAAGTGAAATTGTAAGTGACCAAACGAAGTCTTTTTTTCATGCCCAGAAAACCAAAATCTGAACTACAAAAATGTATTTAATATATGAGATGGCCAAGAAGGGAGTCAATAGGATAGGCACTCAAAAGAAAACTGGCTCCCCCAATGGCAGGAATGCTGTGATTAGAAAAGAGGGGGAAGCAATGCCCGGGGGGTGTGAAGATGTGAAGAGTGGGGAGAAAGCTCCAAGTCTAGGAGGTACCAGGCAGTTTATTCTTCCTTACTGCTGGGTTTGACATTCTCAGCTGGGAATGTCTTCTTGGAGCAGCAAATGAAACAGTGCTAAAGACTACAAAAGACAGGGCCTCCCTGGTGGCGCAGGGGTTGAGCGCTGGATTGCAAAGCTGCCCAAAGCCTCTGCAGTGCCGGCTAGATCCTTGGCCACCGGCGAGAGTCCCACATGGCCGGCAGACCTCTCCTGCCGCCCTCTGCTCCCCTCAGCAGTGTACTTCATCAGTCTGCCTGTCCTGTTCCCCGCTCTGGCTCTGGTGAATTCTCTCACCCTCCCGTGCTTCTGACTGTACCCAGTGCTTGTATAAATAAATAAATAAATCTTTAAAAAAAAAAAAAAAAGAGAGTGCCCAACCAATGTTAAGAGACAGTGAGTGACCTAGATGGGGGAACAGGTAACTGTCAGTGGGTTCTCACCAGCACACACTGTTCCAAGACCAATCAGGCTCAGGGTCCATCAACAACAGGGTTTATTTAACAAACAGGAGATGGGAAAAAGAAAGAGTTTATAAGGTCACAAGTGGTTGGCTGCCGCACCCAATCAAAAAATGGGCAGAAGAGCTAAATAGGCACTTCTCCAAAGAAGACATTCAGATGGCCAACACATGAAAAATTGCTCATCATCACTAAACAACAGGGAAATGCAAAACATTAATTCAAAAGGAAACCTGCACTCCTATGTTTACAGCAGCACTATTTACAATAACCAAGATATAGAAACAACCTAAATGATTCAGAACAGATGAATGGATGAAGATGTAGTATATATACACAATGGAATACTACTCAGGGATCAAAAAAGATACACTCATGCCATTTGCAGCAACATGGACCGAACTACAGGGATTATTCCCTAAGCAAAGTGAGCCAGAAGGATAAAGATAAATATCAGATGGTTTTACTTATATGTGGAATCCAGAGAAACCAAACAAAGGATCAGACAAAGATAAACTGTAAGACTAGCCCCTGAAAGCAGACTGTAGATCTGAGATTCTCAGGAGGGGAAGGAGAGGGGAAGAAAGAGGGAGAGAGTAGAAAACATGTGGGGAGAAGAGTGCAGTGGACTGTAGTAGGGGGACTGTGAGAACTTTGGTGGTAGGAAAATTATGGTGACTGTACTTGAGGGGAGAAATCCTATATTGTGAAAAAATAAACAAGGATGTTTAAAAATCATTTTACTATTAAATAAATAAATCAGTACTACTAGGTACTTTTTACAGAGGAGAGGAGAAGAGAAGAGAGGAGGGAGAGGAGGGGAAAAGAGGGGAGAGGAGGGGAGGGGGGAGAGGGGGAAGGGGGAGGGGAGGGGAGGGGAGGGGAGGGGAGGGGTGGGGAGGGGGGAAGGGAGGGGAGGGGAGGAGAGAGGGGAGGGGAGGGAAGGGGAGTGGAGGGGAGGGGAGGGGAGAGGAGAGGAGAGAAGGAGCCCCTAGACCTCATCATCCCTGGAACGAGCCCATGTTTGAAATCTCAAAACCAGTATTTTACAAATATAGATTTCCTCTTTCCTTATTTCCAGCACATTGGCTCTTCAGTTTCACTGAAACCTCTACCCCATCTCTTTTTAGTAATATTGTTAGCCTTCTTTTCTTCTGTAGTTATACTTGGCAAATCCTGGAAATGACTTCAGAAGGGGGGCCTTTGACATTTGTTTTAATTCTTTCTCAAACATCAATAATAAACTCCTTCAAACCTTCTAAAATTGTACCAAATAATTTGCAGTTCCCTAAATAGCCCACAATCACACACTGTACTTTTCGTATAAAATGATTTTCACCTTTTAATTCTTACTCATACTTAAAGTCTGAGCTCAAGCCACAGATTCTCTAAAAGCACTGAGAATAAACTTCATCTCAAACCAAGTAAGATTTAAGTATTCTCTCCAGTCACAACTTCCCACCCCCCAGCTGCTTCAACTACAAGCAACTTCAGCTCCGACCCGGAATGTTGGAGGCTGTCCTTTCTGTTTTTTACAGAACATAATGTGCATTCACAGCCAGCTGCATGAGTTTTGGGCAGAGATATATCCTGTTTTAATAGCATTGTAAGTATACTGTTTGGAAAATACTTGATTTTAATAAAGTATTAAACCTAGATGAAGTCTTAAAAATTATTTTTACTTGTCATTTTAGATTTGTTGTTTTAAAACCAAAAAGTTAAATGATATAGCCATAGCTATCAATTAGATCTTATCAAAGAGAAACATAGAACTCATTGTAAAATAGACTTGAAAATCCAAAAATTTCCAGTTCAACCTGTACAAATAAACATTAATTCCCAGGAAACTTTTCAAAGTATGGATTTGTGACTGTCTGTCAATCCATCAAGATCTGTTCTGTAGTTGTAAATTAACTTTATGTATCGCACAATCCTTTCAAAAAACAGCTTGTCAGCAAGGTGCCTAGGACTTCTAGACCACATTTTCCATGTTATGCACATAAATATTATACTTGATACTAAATCAATTAAGTTTGGTTACTATATAGATAATATATATAAGGTTGTAAGCTGAAAATGCCATTCTCAAGTCTAGCCCAGAACCAAACACCTTATGTAACATGCTCCTGTGTGTGATCTCAACCTGTCCAAGATGGGGCACTTTTTTGTTCATTCATCCTTCTGTTGTTCTTAGTATTTTTGAATGGGGAGAATAGGAAGAAGGAAAGACTTAAATATAGTGTGAATAGGGAAATAGGAGGCATAACAGGCCAAATATTTAGTTGAGTAGTAAATCATTTTTACTTCTTTCTAAATAAGATAGGAAAGAGTACTTGTCTCTCTTCCCACTACTCAGAAATTCTCAGAGTAATACAATTCTGCATGTAAAAAGCAAATAGTGCCTCAATCCCCATGAGGAAGAGTATAAAATAAACCTTATTCAGAGTTTAAATAATTTTTCCAATTATTCATCATTAAGTAAAAATGCTTTATAAATGTAGAACTCATTATATTAAACAATGACATCAGAAATTTGGCTTTCATAAGTCATCTCAGCACATTATTTAAAAGCTACTTAGAAAGAACAACAAAAATTTCATTGATTTATATACCTTATATGATATGTCAATTTATCAGACTCTTAATTTTCTGACCTGGAATGTCGGAGGCTGTCCTTTTTGTTTTTTGCAGAACACAATGTGCATTCACAGCCAACTGCATGAGGTTTGGGCAGAGATACATCCTGTTTTAATAGCATTGTAAGAATTTCATAGTTGTTACGATGAGCAGCTAAAATGACAGGTGCAACATCCATAGTTGTAGAATACTCAGGATTTTGAATGCGTTCCATTAGTTTCTGAAAAATATTTATATAAATATCCAAAAGTTATTATTTGTGACTTAAAAATATTTATCTAAAGAACAAAATGGGGGAAAAATGGAAAGAACAAAGAATACAGGAATTATTTTAAGGAATATGATAGAATGATAGAAATTTTACCAAGTCCAGTTTTTTTTGAAACATCAAAACTTCAATTAATAAATGCAGTATAATTATGACAGACATAATCTTCAAAAGGAAACATTCAGAAAACTAGAATTCTGAATTCATAACAAAGAAGGTAGGCTACCTGGAGATAAAGTTTAGGGAAATGTGCTTCATTTTCATAAGATTAGGGGAATACACATGATAAGGATAAAGAACAAGAACTTCAGAAAAAGAATATACAGGAAAAACAGAAATGTTGAAAAGAGTATAACCGCATGAGAAAAATTTTAAATAGTCCACCTCATTGTCAAACTTTTCAAATTAATAGCAAGGAAGTTACTTGAAAGATGTAACAGGAGGCATTATTTATTTTGTATAACTTCTTTCTATCTACCCATACCACTTCCTGTTATGAATGCACAAAAACACTAACAATCATAGCTACTATTTAATAAGTCCTGAAATTGTTAGGCACTTTAAGTTTATCATCTATTTAATCCCCACAATATTCTGTAAAATTGAACATTATAATTCCCATGATAAAAACTGAGGCTCAGAGAAGTTAATGTGCCAGAGCTATGCAACTGAGTGGCAAACTACAGATCAAAACTCAGGTCTGTGTTACTCCAGAGCCTGAGCTCACTAACTACAGGGACTCATGGGGGCATGACATGAGAAAAGAATCACTAGTAAATAGAGAGTCAAGGTTAAACTTAAAAAGTTGACTGTTTTATAGCTATTTCACATTCTTCCTATGAAAAACTTTTCAGTGAAAAGTTCTCACTTTTTCAGTTTTCCTGAGATATATTTGATTCCATAGTATCAGCTCATCAAGTTCACATTTTTTAGATAATTTTTATTAACACTGTAAAGTAGTGTACACATAATATAAAATATCTGAAAAATATAGAAAGGCAGAAAGAATAGCCATATTCCTAACAGCCAAAGAATATTTTACAATATTTCCTTTTTGTCCTTTATCTGCCACACCCCCTATAAGGACATTTTTGACATAAATGATTTGAAACCAATGAATTCTAAAAATGATTCTTAATATTTTAACAATCTCACAGTTATAGCCCAGAACCTTCACAAAAACTTCATGTATAGAATTTTGCATACAATTTAAGGAAGTTCATAGACCCTATGTTTAAGGTACTTTATTAATATAAATAAAACTATCATACATATTTTTTGTGACTACAGCTTTTTTGAAATTTAGGATTATCTCATTAACATAGAACCCTTGACATGGAATTACAGATCTAAAATCCATGAACTCCATGGAGTTCTGAAACCCTGATACATATTATCAAAGTTCTTTTAATAATTTTTATTACCCATAATACAGCGATGTATCCATTTGCTAAAGACTCACTCACCAGCACTAAGTGTGATCACTCTTAATTTATGCATGAAAAATGCTATCATGAAATATTAATCTACATTCCTTTGATTGCTGATTTTAGTTTTTACCAATATATTTATTTTTGTCCTCCTTTTATAGTTTATAAACTTCCCATTTATTTTATGTGAACTTCAAATTAATGAATTTATATCACAGAGAAATCTAAAAATTTAGTGCTTTCGCCCTTATTGCTGGTTATAAAGAGGGGGAAATTACACTGAATCCCTTGAAAGAAAAATGGTTTTCTCATTTTCTCTATGAAAGACACCTATTAGCAATACATTAAGATGTATTTCTAAAATGTATACATTAAGATAAGGTTAAGGTCATAATTTCATTATGCATAAATATCTGGGTACTATCAAAAAAAAGGCCTGCAGGGCCTCCCCTGGTGGCACAGTGACTGAGCACTGGGCTGCAAGGCTGCCCACAGCCTCTGCAGCGCTGGTTCGTTCCCCGGCCCCCGGCGAGGGTCCCACCAAAAAAATAAATAAATAAATAAAGGCCTGCAAATGAAGGTCAGAATTTAATCAAGAGACAATTTTGATAAGCCATGAATACAGAATGAATTCGCTGAAGTGGCAAAAAGGACATATATATAAATATTTGACATTACCTGTCTAGAAATAATAGGACTACTATAATGTGATCTTAATGTCACTGGAAGTATTAAAGCAAGGGCTAGATAACCTTTTTCGTTAAAGATACAGTGGTAAAAAGGTTTCTTGCAGTGACCAGGTGATGGCTCCACTGTCTTAAAACTCTTTTAAGATTTAATTGGTAGTGACACTGGTGATGAAATATTTACTACCTGTCAGTGACTCCAATATCCTAGCACAGTACATCCCCCCTCCACAAGAAAATAAATGGGTTAAAAGTCTAGACAGTGGAAAAGGCATATCAGAATACAATAGGAACTGCAGGATAAATAACAAGAGATCTCTAGATATTTCTAATTCTTACAACAGGGACTATCTTCTTAGACTTTTTTATTTTCTATGTTCCTATTAGCTTCTTATTACCACTATAATTAGGTGATACTATCCTCTGGAGAGTGAGGCATTCGTAAACTGTGCAATAGTCTAAATGAGTAAAATATTTCAGTCAATACATAATAAAGTATACAATTTAGCAGTTTCTTATAGTCCTCAAATAATGGCTGATAATTTGGAACCCATTTGAAATTTCTTAAGACAATTTTTTCTCCTGAGTATAGTCATTTTATACTCCCAGCAGTTATTTAAACTGCTTGTTTCACTACATCCTCATCAATAATGAATGTTACATAGGCTCTCTTGCTGCTCCCTGGCCTGGTTCCACTGGCCTGGGAGACCCACTTTACTTCTGTTCCTTTTCTCCTTAATAAACTTTTTCTTTCTCTAAACAAAAACCAATCAATCAATAAATAGATGTTACATAAAGCTGTTCAAATATCTCATATTTTAAAATTAGAATGTATTTATTAGTAACTGTCTTCTCACAAAGCAATAAAAAATATACATATATGCTTAATTTGTAAGTTAATAGATGACTACTATTAGATAGCATTTTGCTATATTTCCAATCAGACCCTTTTCTATGCATATTTTTAACCTTGATTTATATTATATGTACAGTTTACTTTTCTTATTTTATTGACTTCCTACCACATTTTACCATATTTCTACATATTCTTTAAAAATAACATTTTACATATATATTTTTCATATTTATTATATATTTGTTTTGTATTTCCAATCTTATATTGGTATTTTAGATTGTGTCACACGACTTCTTCATTACTACAAATGACTGTAATTAACATTTTTGTCCATATTTCTGACCACTTCCTTATAAGTTTCTAGAGGAGGAAGAACCAGGCAAAAAAATTATGAACACCTTTCTTGTTTATAGCACATCCCGCTGAAGTGCTTTCCAAAATATCCCACCCACAAGTGGTGTATGTGACTATTCTACTCCCTTGCTATCAGTGATAAGTATTTTTAAAAATTTTTGCTAATTTGACAAGCAAAATTAGTATCTCATTGTATATAACATCATTAAAGTTTAATCTCTTATATTTTCTTTTCCAACACTTTTTCATGTCCTTTTCTGATTTTTGTGTTTTTCACCAACTCATTCAATATTAAGATTATGAATTTGTGATATATGCTGAAAAATATCCATCTGCTTCCTAATTTCTGCCTGATAGCTGAATTCCAGAAACTTAACTTCTACAGCCAAAGGCTGTGCTGCTATGATTTTTGTCCATTGTTTTTACACTTAGAAAGTCCATCTATGCCCAGTCAGTTAACTATGTACCTACACTTTCTTCCAGTTTTATGCTTTGTTTATATTTAATTCTTAAATCCATCTGGAAATTCATCTGTATTTTCAACTTAGCCTGTAGAATGTTCCAAACTAAAAATAGAGGTCCATACTGAAAAAAATTACAGAAATATCACTAATTTTAAAAAGGTGTCCTAAAAACAGTATTATTCTTGCAACTGTCTACTTATTCTAAAACAATATTTTACAGAATGAAAAAAAATCTGTTTCTTAAAAGGAAAATAAATTTGGGGAAGAAAAAAAATGGCAATAGGGCAAAAGATGTATTTTGGTTTTAAAATCCAAATTAACAAATACTTAAGAGTACTAACTACTATAGTTGGTCTTGATGATCGTTTTGGTCGATGATTAAGTAGTATATCAACAGCTCCCACTACTTCAGAGTCGATTGCCACCAAAAGTGCATCTGCGGACTTTAAAAAAAAAAAAAGGTTAAAAAATGAAAATGGAGGGTAAGAAGGTAAACTATTTTTAGTAATTCATAAATAAAACTATTTTGAAAGTTTAAACTGTATTATATACAGTAATACTCAATTTTCAAAAATTTAGACTGTCCAGGTAGTACATTTGCTTGTCTTAGCAGTACTTCTCTGTACCACAATATACAGGTTTCTGTCCTGGTTTCACTGCATGAGCTGGTAAAATAATGAATGCTTGATAGCAGGGTTTATTAATGAAACAGTGCTGATTCATTTAGTATTTAAATCTAAGATGCTTTCCTTTTCAAGATCTTTATTCTTAAACTTGGACCAAAAGAATCATAACACTCCGTATCTGTAAAAGAAATGGCCACGAACTACAGGTATTTTATTGTGTTCAGTGTAATAAAAATGATCACCCATGCAACCATAAAGATAGGGGACAATGGAAAACATGTTAACAGAGGAGTGGGCCCTCTGTTCTCATCTTTAAAACACATGGTGGATTGAAATGATAGAAGTTTGACATTAATATTAGCAAACTAACCCAATGAAAATCACAAAGAATTTGGTTATTAATGTCCTTACAGACAAGAGGGAGAAGTGACTTTATAGTTTTACTCCCCAGCTACAACTCATTTTGAGGCTCCGACTTTGACAGGAGAAAAAATAAACAGAAGTTGAGGAAATGCCTTTTTAACTTGATAACAAAGTCTACAATCTATGATATCTGGCAACCATGACATCATATTTTTGGGTGTTTTTTTTATTTTTAAAGAAAATCATAAAGGCAGAAGGGAAATATGGGGATAAAAATGATTTAATCTAAAAAAATGCCCCAATTATTTTCAATCTGTACATTTTAAACTGTTATAATTCTTAACTATTAAATAAAGTCTCTCTTTAAAATGAAACTATGTCAGATATTTAATACTTTTTGCAGCTGAATAAGGCTTTCATCCATTTTATCTAGATATCCAAAACAAAACTAAAAATGGAAACTTTATCTGGAAGTCTAAAAATAGGAGTAAGAGCCCCAAAAGGGTTGAGGGGTCACACTGAAACACTAGAACTGCCTTTGTAGTCCCACAGGAAAAACTCTCCATCTTGATGGGAAATTTAATTCACTACTTTATCCCTGAAAACTTTGACCTTTCACTGGGCTATAAGTCTATTCTTTGAAGTTTAGCATTATTCTTCTTCTGCTACGCAAACATTTCTTTTGAATTTATACCACTCTTGGTCAGGAGACACAAACAAACAAGAAGAACCATGTGTTCATTACTGATTAAAAATTTCATTTATGACTTTTAATTTTAACCTATAAAGCTAAGTATAGTAATGTCACTGCTCTTGAACACCAGGCAACATGAACCGTATGAAACAACCATGAATTCAGCTGCAGATTTCATTTTTTAAAAAAAAATGTAGACCACTCACAAACTAGCTTCAAGTGCATTATTTTCCAAAAGGAACTACCCCAAGGACACTGACAGAATTGTTATAAATGACAGACATTTATTTGGGTTTACCAAGTATTCTTCAGATCTTTACTAAATAGGAGAGTAGCTAAATTAAAATCAACAAAGTAGAAAGAAAGGAAGGAAAATTTGCTATAAGTTGATCACTGAAAAAATATCAGTAGCACAAAGTCAATGTCAATAACCAGTGGTAGGAAGCCTTTTAGTATAAAGACAAGCATGTCAATAGTTTCAGACTATATGAAGTAAGGTAATAATGATTATATTTGCAATGATTTCTATTTACAGTGGTAGTTAAATTATATTCAGATACACTCTTTAGGAAAAAATAAAGAAAGATTCATGTTAAATCTTTCAGGCTTAAAAGGATAAGCTTCAGGCATGAGAGATATTTATATAAGAAAGTTATGTAAGTAATGAGTTACCATTAATGGTATATTATTTGATAAAGGTTCTAAAGAAAAAATGCTTTAAAGTACTTTAAAGTACTTAAAAATATCTATAGGGACACAAAATTTCATTAGTTTTGTTTCCTAATTTCTTACAGATGATTGACCATTTTTTATTAAAATCTATTCACTATATATACTTACTATGTAAGTATATACTATGTTCTCTTCCTTTTCACTTCAGAATGTCTTTTCAACAATCCCCATACTCTTTCCTCTAAACTCAGAGTAACTAAATACTTCCTCTCTAAAACCAAATTTTCCACTTTGATATCACCTCTCTTCTATAAAACCTTGGTCCTTCATTCACAGAAATAACAGTACTAGCTCCCACCTTCACAAACATTAAATCCTTCTTCACTCTTTTCTAACTCTAGAAATGTACTCTTCATCTTAAACTGTCCATTGCAGACACCCTGATAAACCCAAAATAAACAAGGATAAAACCTAAATTCTCCATTTTCTGCCCCAAGCTTGACTTCTTAACTTGTTTTTCTTTCACCCTTCTCCCAGTTATCCATTTTTAAGATTGCCTCTTGGACTTCTTAATTCCCCCCTCCAAACTTAAGTACCCTTAAACTCTATCAATTCTCCCTTCATAATATCTCTGACATCTGCCATGTTTTGCCCTATTCCTAAAGCCACAAAAATCTTTCCTTGGCATCCCTTTGATTCCAGGGCCACAATTGATAGCCAAATCTATGGATGATCAATTCCTTTATATAAATTGGCATAGTGTTTGTATATAATCTCTGCACAGCCTCCCACATACTTTAGATGCCTTCAATATTACATCGAATACCCAATACAATGTAAATGCTCTGTAAAAAGTTGTTATTGTATAGTTTAGGGAATAATGATGAGGAAAAAGTCTATACATGATTAGTCAGATGCAATCATCAAAGGCTTAACTACCTAGTCCGATATTTTCTAGCTATGGTTGGTTAAGTCCACAGATGCAGAACTCACAATATGGAGGGCTGACTGTACTCTGGTTCAGGCTTTACCCTCTTCATATCAGGTTAGCTATAAAAAACGGCTCACCCACTACAGACTACGGTAGAAGATTATGGGTGTTTTGGTGTCAGGAGAACTAAAGCGTGAGGGGAGAAATCCTGTATTGTAAAAAAAATCAACAAGGATGTAAATAATGGCACTTCATGAAAAAAATATAAAAAATGCTCACCCAAGCTAGAGTTTTTTACCCCTTTCTATTTTCTAATCTATACCAAACACTGTCAGTCAATTCATTTTTCTGAAATGAATTGGATATATCACATCCTTTCTCAAAAATCATTTAATGACCATACTAGTTATCACATAATCCAAATCCCTTAGCCTGGCATTCAGGCTCGTTTCAACAGTTTTATTTTAGTTATTTTTCCAGATATTTCCCTCCACTCTCCAAACCAATTATTTTGTTCAAAAAGATCAAATCAATTTACTAACTCAAGAACATATACTGCGCATGACTTTTCTTACATCCTTCTCTATACTCCCTGTCCATTACCTACATACATATTTTTGAAAGTATGTTTCAGGCAGTAGGTTAAGGTCATGAAATGTGGAGTCGGAAATTGGGCTCAAATTTCAGGTCTGCCATTATGAAGAAGTGACTAAGCAATTTATTTAACTGTTCTCCTGTACCTTGCTTTCCCTCATCTATAAAATGGGGATAGTAAGTACTATCTCCCAGGGCTATTGTGAGAAATAAGGGAATATATTTAAGGTTCCTTTTACATAGGAGCATGATGTAAATATTAGGAATTATTAATATTAATAGGACTGAGTCTATGACATACTTTCAAGAAAATAGCTTCAATCTATAATACTCTTCTCTTTTCTGTTTCCAAACATTTATTTAAACCACAAAAGTTTAAGTTTAAAGCATGATTTCTCAATAGTGATAATATTGACATGTTGGACAAGGTAACTCTGTTCTGGTGGGCTGGCCTGTACACTGTAGGATGTTTAGCAGCATCCCTAGCCTCTATCAGATGCCAATAGCAATCCACCTGCAAGTTGTGAAACCAAAAATGTCTTCAAAGATAAACTCATGCCATGGGATGGAGCAACATGGATGGAGCTGGAAAGGGATTATGCTAAGCAAACTAAGACAGGAGAAAAAAAAGAAATATAAGATGGACTATAGGAAAACCAAATAAGGGGTCAGGAAAAAGACAAAACTCGCAAGCTGACCCAAGATCTGAGGAATATAGCAGGGAAGGAATACAGGAATATAAGGAAGGGGGAGTGAGAGGGGCCAAAAGAGGGGAGAGAAGAGCACAAGGGAGAGGGGAGATGGATCACGGGTGCTATGGTGGTGGGAGAACCAAAGGGGAAACACCTGAGGGGAGAAATCAAATATGTACAAAAATGAACAACAATGTGAGAAAATAGAATAAATTTAATCAAAAAATAAACAAAATGTCTTCAGACATTGCCAAATATCCATGGCAGGTGGGTGGGGGGAAGGATAAAATCGTTCAGTTGAGAGCCACTAACATACCACAAGATAAAAATACATGAAAGCACTTTGTCCCCTCAAAGCAATATACAAGGGTCAAGTATTACACTCAGCACTTATCAAATACATTTTTATATAATTTAATTGCTTTATAATTCATATGTGCTTTCATTGGCCAACAAATTTAATATCCTTTAGTGTGAACTCATGTTTCACTTATTCATTTCCACAATCACACCCAATTGAAGGCCTTGATACCAAAGACACAAGTAACCTGAGACAGAACACAGCGAACTGGAAAGAGCATGGGATTTGCAGCCATAAGATCAGGTTCCAATCTCAGCTTTGCTTTCATGAATTTTAGAACTTTGGGCAATTCATTAATGTCTATGAGCCTCAGTTTTGTGCTATTTTTATAAAATGTAACATCTCTATAGGCTGCTATGATGGTCAAGTAAATGTATACCGCACAATTATTATATACAGTCACATATGTAAAAAGACACAAATGATTATTATACCATAATATCTCTTTTATCCAGGATCATCAAGGACTGAATTTCTTCATAACTTTATTTTCTAGGTAACTGAAGCTTATGCTTTTAAGTCTTTAACCTTTTAAACTATTTTGATGGAAGTTTTCTACTTTCAGAAGTCAAATTTTCTCCTTTCTTCTAAAATAATATGTACTGAATATAATTTAACTTTTTTTACTGACTCCATCAACTATTATTCTAACATACAGTTCCGTCAGAGATGATCAAATATGTAATGCCGTTGGCCTTTTCATAGAGTTAGAGGTACTGTGCCTCATTTTGTTCCACTTACAGTTCTACATGACTCTTCTGCTGTCCCTCTAATTCTCATTGGACTAGAAAACTAAGTAATTTATTAAAGTAGAATCTAAAATGAGAAAAAAAGACTATGACAGAGGAATCCATAAATACTCTCTCCTATGACTAAAGTTCATAAACTTCAATGGGAAATTTCATAGCCTCTACTCTGGCTGCTTAGAGGTATTTTTCACTTACTTTCTGATTCTCACTGGTGTTCTGGATAGCTGAAATTGCTGAGGAAGCAATCTTTTTTGTACTCTAACTATAAATAGAGATAGTAAACATGTACCTAGAACTAACCTACCTATATCTTTTAAATTTTCTGAGTGCTTCCTGATGCCAGTCAAAAAGAAAAGTCGCATTAACAAAGCACACAATCATACTATTTGAAAGAAAGTAAAAAGATGCAATTTCCAACCATAAACAAACAAAGAAAGAATGAAAATATTAAATATCCTTCATAATCTCTTGACTGAATTTTCTCAAAACTTAAACACATGCTAGTTCTTCTACTTAAACAAATATAAAGACAAACAGCAAGGTCAATATTTTTCAGTTTAAAAAAGGTCATTCACCTTTAGTTACAAGTAAACATTATATTTCAAACAAAAAGGAAAATTTAATACAACTTAGCAGGAGAAAATCAAACACAAATTGAAAACTTTTTTTTTGTGTGAGTCAGGAGCAATTTGTTCTTATGCTTGTAAATTTTATGGGCCACAGAAAACCTATTCCCCTGATACTTCCAGAACACATGTACTATTTTTAGATATTTACTATAAATAATGATAATATGGGTAATACGAAGTCATCTTTAATAAGTCTTGATAATTTATCTGTCAGATGTAAAACATACAAAGATAAGGAGGGAAACTTAAAGTTGGGAGAAAAAAGGTATCTCAAGTCAAAATGTACTTTAAAAGGGCTTTTAGGTTTGCTTTTAAAACTTTTAGTGGTTTAAAACCAAACAAAAGGGGAAAGAGAAAGGAAGGATGGAGGGGTAGAGGAAAGGAAGAAGCTAGGAAATAAAAAAGAAACACGGTACATCTAACAGTACTTAGAAGCTACTGGATAGAATTATCTAGCCTTGTACCTGACAACCGTAGTCCAAAAGAAGCTGCAGTATATCCAAGTTTTCGTTTTCAATAGTTATGGTAACAGCATTTCTCCCAAGCACATCTACGCAATTTATGTTCAAGTCACCTGAACTGTTTTCCTCCAAAATCTTTTTAACCATATAATAGTCACCTAAATAACAATATACAAACATAATTTAATATCCATGACATAGTAAATAAAAATGACTATAAAGAAAATCTTAGCTTGATTTAAAACATCAAAAACCTAAACTCATTTGTATATGGAAATGTAACAAAGAAAATCTGAACATTTTTCCTTCCTGAAAACTTGTAGTCTGGTAAAATATAAACCAGCTGCAAACATAAGTGTAGAAAAATTTTTAAATGTGCACTTTGAAATAAAACTTGTTAGTTTAAAATTTATAACTGATCGATGATAAGGAAACGTTTAGAAGGTATTTAAAGCAATAAAGAATGTCCAAAAACACAGACTGGCAGTTTAAAAAAAAAAGCTTAAAAGATTTAAGTTTTACAGCTCAAATACATACACACATTTACACACACATCATAATGGTTAAAAATGTGATTTAGAAATAAGTGGAAAATAATATAAGGAGAGCATATGGGGGGAAACATTTTCAAAAAGCAGTATGAATGTGTACATGCTTCTGGGTATGCAACCAAAAAAGGATGCTCAAAACAGCTGACTCATTGTGGGTAAGGAGAATAATAATAGAGGTAGTAAGCATTTTCATAGAGGGCCCACTCTATTAGCCTGCTTACCAGTTGGTGCAATAAAGAAAATAAATCTAAATAGAAATGTTAAATAGAGAAAGAAAACAGATGGGCTTAGTTTAATTTTTTTAACATTAGATGAATAAACCATTATAAGTGACTTGCAACTACAGTTGTTCCTTAGAAGTTTATGAGTCTTATTTACAAGCTTGTTTTGCAGTCTTCCTATGTGGGTGGATGGTTTCTGTTCTCAGCCACCCCCTTTCAAAACGTATAATCCTTCCAGCTTTGTGACCTATTTCTGTATGACATTAAAATTCAAATCCCTACCATGCCCAGACTAGTAACTCTTGGCATCACCCATGAAGCAACGTAAATGTCAGCTCACACGTCCCTCTGTTTTTATCTTTCCTTAATTTTTGGATCCTGAGTGTTCCCCTTACTTTCTTAAAAGCTAAGCTGCTCAGTTAAATGGGTGTTTGTTATATTTTAACTAGCATTTCTAGATGATTTGAAGCAGAAGAGTTCAGATTATCTCATCAGCCATATTGCTAGAGGCAGAAAAATATAAAGACTGTATAATTCCTATAGGATTTCAAAATTTCAGGTACAGAAAATTAACAAAAACTGCTACAAATTATTTGTTCAGATTGTTGTTTAAAAGGTACTTTTTTTTTTGCAAGTATTTGATATTCCAGCTTTAAAATTTCAAAGACTATTTTCATTGCGATTAGGGACATATACAAGGGGAGGTAGGAGTTAAAAGACAAAATAAAATAAGTAATTTTAGCCCTAAAAATAATAAAAGTTCCACCCTGTCACAGCTAACACTCATACAAATGAAAGTGTACATGTTACAGTTACGCAACCTATTGGAAGCCTAGGCTGATTCCTAAGCCATTCATTTAAGTTCATATTTGTAAGCCATTTAAAATGATGTACTATATAAAGTAAACTTAGAACAATCTTAATATTTAGGAAGAGCATACATGTAGAAATATGTTGATACTTGGCAAGGAGCTAATTACTGAGAAAATTCAAAATGTCTTATGCCAGACTAATATATAAATGCTTTTCATTTTATTTTTTTTTTAAATCTTTTTTTTTTTTTTTATAGAGGCATGTTTTATTTATTTATTTGTTTGTTTTGTTTATACATGCACTGGGTACAGTCAGAAGAGCGGGAGGGTGATAGAATTCACCAGAGCCAGAGCGGGGAGCAGAGAGGCAGAAGGACCGAAGTACACTGCTGAGGGGAGCAGCGGGCGGCAGGAGAGGTCTGCGCGCCATGTGGGACCCTCCTCCGGTGCCCGGGGAGCAGCCGGGGATCGAACCGGCGCTGCAGAGGCTGCGGGAAGCCTCGCAACCCAGCGCTCAACCGCTGCGCCACCGGGGAGGCCCTGCTTTTCATTTTAGACTGAAGTTGCTTTCAAGAGTTACATACAGCTTTTTTCTTTTAAAATATAACATGTAGAAGGAAATATAACAATCTGTTTACTGTTATATGGTTATCTTTTTTTTCAGTAAAGGAAAAAGAAACTCTCAAATCAATTCCACCAGTATATAAATTCAAAAGCAAGTCTTCTCAGCCCACTCTCCAAAATATCTGCCTTGTTCATCTAATTGTATACTGCTACATCCAGTACATGTAACTATCAGCTTCCTCTAGACTCTGCAATAGTCTCTTTACTGATACAGCTCTCTACACTCTAAGGGTTGAGAAGCATATTTTCTAAAGAGTCAGATAGTAAATATTTAAATCTTTCCAGGCCATACCATCCCAATTGCAAATACTCAGCTTTGTCCTTGCAGCATAAAAGGGCCATGGAAAATAAGTAAACAAATGAGCTCTAAAAAGTACTAATAAAACTTTATTTATGGATATTACATTTTGCGTTTCATATAATTTCCACATTATGAAATATTCTTCTTTTGATTCTTGTCCAAACATTTTTAAATGAAAAAAAAAAAATTCTTGACTCAAAGGCCTTATAAAAATAGGTGGCGGGAAGATTTGGACTATGGGCTATAGCTTGCCCACCCATGCTCTCATCCCTCCTAACCCCTTAATCCAGCCTCCACTCTGCAGCCAGAGTGATCACTTTAAAATTCAAGTCACATCAAGTTTACAATCCTCAAGATTTTCATCACATAAAATAAAGGTTCAAATATTTACTATGGCTTATTAAACCTGAAGTAGTACAAACCAGTACTTAAAATATTACTAAACAGCGCTAATGGACAGTGACAAGGGTGGGGGACAGGTTACTGCCTCTGGATTCTCATTTGTGTGCACAATTGCAAGACCACTCAGGATCAGGGTCTAACAACAAAGGGTTTATTTAACAAACAGGAGATTGGAGAAAAGGAAGGAGTTTCTAAGGCCACAAGTGACCAGCTATCTCACCCCAGATAGTGTCCACAGTGTTCAGAAATACCAAACAAAAGCCACTTGTGGAATATTAAATACCACTGCAGCAGCCCATAGCAGCTGTCTGAAAGCTGGGCCTGATGCTGAACCAAACAGCAACGGACTCAACAGCACCAGGAGGTGGTGGAGAACCAGAGGCTGTGGTCAGCTCTTTGAGATGCTGGGCAAGCCTGGCGATGCTCTTTGCAGGTGATGTCAGAGGCAGGGCTACAAGCAGGTGCAGCAGCCAAGTCTCTATGAAGGGCTACGGAGGTGTGGCGATCTAGAGGTCTACAAAGTCTACAAAGTTCTACAACATCTGGCAAATCCCAGAGGTCAACTACTCCATGTGTCTCTCTTCAGAGGCTGTGAGCAGAATCCTTCTTTGAAGGTGGTCTGATGAATACTCGAAGGCCAGCTGCTGATTTCTTCAAAGGTGGTCCAACAAATTCTCTCTTCAGAGACTGGATGCACACAGCTTCTTTGTAGGGAGGGAACAGAACCCTTCTTCTCTCTTCGGAATCTAGTTGTGCACTGCCTAAAATTGGCTCTTACTGTACCAGATACCCCTTTAGTGTCCTGACCCTACAAACCTGACTAGACCATTTTCAATCCTAAGCATCTGATTGGATCATTTAGCACCAATCAGCTCATTTTTCAACCCACATAGTTAACTAATGAAGTGAGATCACATCTGACTGGCTCATTTTAGAATTCTAGAGCCAGATATAAAAGGGAGAAAAGCTCAGCTGGGCCTGCACTCAGGTCAGTGCTGGCTGGAGGAGTGAGCTGATGCCAGAGTACTTCAGCCCCAACAAAGTCACCTTGCCCCGGGGCCTATGGAAGCCACAGGGGATCTGGTTAAAAACCTTACAGGATTTGGGCCTTGCTGCCATCTGAATTTACTTGTGTCACTCTTCCATTCACCCACTATGACCTTTCTAGACCAATGTTTTCCAACCTGCAGGCTGTAACCCATTAGCTGTCATGAAATCAATGCGGTGAGTCCTAACCAACAATTTTTTTTTTTATTGAAATAGTATATAAATACTAAGGTAACCTCATGAATCTTTAGCCACAAATTCACTCTGACTATCTATGAAATAAATGCAGAGAAATACAATGGAGAAATGGAACAATATTAAGAATAGGTTGTTCCATTTTTTCTTCACTGGCATCTTTCTTTTCATTTTCTTATAGTGATAACTTTGAACAGGACTGACATGGGGCATTAATGTTCAGTTTAATGTTATAATAACCAAATTTCAGTTAGTTGTAAAGTGTGGGAGAATTCATGTGTCAAAAAAGTCTGTAAAGCTTTTCAAATCAAGTTTCCTAACAAACTTTTTGAGTGTGTAAATGCAACATTCTATTTCCGAAGACACTATTACCAAAGACACAGTGAAACAAATTTTACCATTAAAAGGAAAAAGAATGATGAAGTAAAAATATATATGTATATATTTATGCATATATTAAACACACACACACACACAAAGACACAAAATTAACTGTTGGATCTTGAATAGAGGCAATATGTAAACTCTACAGCAAACTTCAAATTAGTTTGAATCAAATTCTAAAAAAGAAAAAAATCGGGCCTCCCTGGTGGTGCAGGCAGTTGAGCACCGCACTGTGGAGCTGTCCGCAGCCTCTGCAGTGAGCGGGGGTTTGATCCCGGCACATGGCGAAGCAGACCTCTTCTGTCTCGCCCACTGCTCCCCTCAGCAGTGTATTTCATCAGTCTGCCTGTTCTGTTCCCCACTCTGTCTCTGGTGAGTCCTCTCACCCCCCGTATCTCTGGCCTGTACCCCGGTTCTTGTATTAAAAATAAATAAATCTTTAAACAAAAAAAAGAAAAAAAATCATGCAAGACCTATATAGTGGAATGATTTAAAATATAGTTTTACCAGATGTACAAAGCCCAATGTTCACTACTGGCCCCAGTGCATTTTTTGAATATTTTTATATTGTGAATGAAACCTTCAAAATTAAAGATACCCAAAACTTTTGAATAAATATTA